ATAGTTTCTTCATGGCAAAGCCTCTTCAAATTCTAAATACCAAAAATGTTTCAGTTGATTGAGATGAAAGTGACAACTTGTGTATACAAGTGTGTGTGTGTGTGTGTGTGTGTGTGTGTGTATGTGTGAAGGTGCAGGCTGCTGATCGGTAGCTTATAGTTAACTGGCAGAAAGCATCTCACCTCACAGCCGGTTCACACAGACTACTTTCTGTTGCTCTTAAACAATAATAAAAAAAAAGCCTCTCCTTGGATGTATCAAATCCCACTGCTGCTCTTCCATCTTATCTGTTGGTTGCAGGTTCAGGAAGTCAGTGTGTGTTGTGGTTGACATCTAGCATTCGCCGGAACGACCTGCAGACAGACAGGAAGGGGAGTTCCCAAAATTCAGATGGTTAATTTGCTGCTTGAAAATGTGATCAGTAACATGATACACTGGGTTATACAAACAAAATGACAATCATTAACATATTAGCAACGTAAATTCTTCATGAAAGGTGAGGCTAATATTTAAGCCTGATTGGCAGTGATGATATACAATATCATTCTGTGTACGTGAAGATTGAGGTGAAGACTTAACTCACTGCCACTTATTCTCAGATAATGACCAGAGAGAGAGAGAGAGAGAGAGAGAGAGAGAGAGAGAGAGAGAGAGAATGTGCACATGCATGTGGAAATTGCCAGTGCAGTACGTCCCTATGGGCCCGTGCTGAGTTGTGTATATATTGCCCCCACCACACACAGTGTTTTTCCATATGGGCCACCTGTGTATTTCATCTTAACAAGGAGCATCTGTCATCATTAGCACCATCATCTGTCTTGAGATAGGCTACACATTTATGAATATCTGCAGTTTTTCAAGAGGGCATCTTTTAACATAAAACTAGAATAATGAACGGTTGTATGCCTCTGCTAACCAGTCAAGTTGCAGTTTACAACCATGTATGTCCAAAATTTCATTACTTCATAATTTTATCCTATCACACATCTGTGTGAAATTGTCATAATTGCACATTAATTCTTCAGTTCTGGTGAAAAACGTGTTTTGTGAAGTCACAGTGACCTTGACCTTTGACCACGTCTGTGCCAAATGTAAAGAAATTCCCTCAAGATGTTCCTGAGATATTGCTTCAAGAGAATGGGACGGAGGGACGTACCACCCTGAAAAACATAATTCCAGGACTGTCGCGGAGTCATAAAAAGAGTATGGTTGCCTCACACCACTCTCTCTACCTCTCCCTACTTCCCTCTCTGCATGCCGGACACCCAGAGTCCCACCACCTGTTGAACAGCGAGGTCCACAGCATCGGAGTCCAGCACTACGCGACATTTCCATACTGTGTTTGTAAGTGTGTGTGTGACACGAGGCTGTTTACAGTGAAACAGATGGACAGAGTAAATATAACTTTAGACCTTAGCAGGACGCCAACTGGGTGATGAAATCTTAGGAGGGATAACAACCTGTTATTTTGACACAGATGTCTTAATACATATGCAGCATTGTTTTTTTTAATCTTAGGGGAGGATGGCCAAAAAAACATTTATTGTAGAAGTGGGACGACAGGTTTATCTATTTTGAATAATTAAATTCTGGCGATGTGAAAAGGAAAGAAAATCTATTTGCTGGTTTTAGCGGTTGTCATTGATGCTCTACAGCAGGGGTCGTCAACATTTTTCAGGGCAAGGACCCCCAAACTGACCCCAGCTATATATATTGTATAAAATTTTGTTTTATATTAAATGGGCCTAGTACCGTGTATACCTCTTTATTGTGCATTCAATACTAAGCTATTCAAATAATACACAGGTTCATATATTCATGTTTTTATTTTAAACATGTGCAAGGTACAGTGAGTAGGGAGGCCGTGCCACTGCCATTTATAAACATTGTCAGCTGATACCAATGCCAATATCAACATGGTCTGTCAATTGCATGATAGTCATGCATACAAGCTATTCACATTGATGATGCATAAACATACCTGTTATCTTGCATACAATACTGAAATATTAAAATAATGGACAAATTCATGTTTGGAAAAAAATAAATAAAAAATTGTCTAATCAACCAAAAATTTTGCAGACCCCCTGCAGAACCTCCGCGGACCCCCTGTTAAAGACCTCTGCTCTACAGTAAACCACAACTGCAGATGGAGTTTCCTTTGTCGATTAATAAATATATCAGTGGAACTGAGTTGTATTAAAGAAGTAAAACCGGTCATCAACCTTGTCTTAGGTGCTGGTTTTATTTTAGATGTAGAAGGCAAAGAGTTAAAGAGCTGGTAGAGGAACAAACGTTACCTTGGTCGGAGAGCATCTGCTGAGCATTGCTTCCTGTCCTCCTTCTGCAAAGAGAAGAAAAGAGAGAGTAAAGGTCGAGGAAAACAGTAACTTGGTAAAATATACTGTTTTTACAATATATATTAAATGTAAAGTGTTCCTAGTTTAGAGTTTCCACACCAACTACACAAATGTTTTAATGTTTAACTGTATGAAGGATCACCTCTTGTTCTGGTTGAACTTGCACCTGCAGTGGCCACCTGGAGAAAGAGAGAAGAACAGTTGGCTTTCTTTATATCTGTGTGTTTGTGAGTTGTTTGAGGCAGTTTATGACTCCGTATGTGTGGATAAGGGTGTGTGCATGATTTGCATCTTACTGAACAGGATGGTGATGCCAATGAGACAGAGGACAGCAGCTAGAATCAGGCCTCCGACACGCAGCCTGTGGTAGTCTGCAGAAAGGGTTACCGTATGAAAATGAATGTAAAAAAAACGAATGCATCCGAGCAAAGAAACATGCAAGCAAATGAAATGGGAAACACCTTCATATACATGAAAAAAGTGAGTTTTTAAAAGTGATTTACAGCCCTTTATGTTAATGATACAGATCAGCTTCTAAAGGCCGCTACCTTCTCAATGATAGTGAAAATATTACTTAAGAAAAGAATAGATTACCAAAGGTAAATGGATCCTCTTCCACTGCAGAAACAGAAATAATTAGGGTCAGTTGAAAATTGGTTTGAGCAGCAGATAAATGAGGATATGCAGAAACATCCACATATCAGAGGCAGTGATATAAAAAAGTCAACAGTACAAAGTAAGAGGATGAAACACTGTGGCCTAGTTTAATTATCTAGCAGATGACGTAATCAATACATTTCAACATAAAAGTGACATTTCACTCAATTTTAATAAACACAAGTAAAGACATGGCTCTTATGGTTATCTTATCTCAGAATTTTAAGATAAAAATGTAGATCGGATCATATAATAATAATATAATAGAGATATATCCCCTTTTGGATGAAACATATTAACCGTATTACCCAAATATTTACAGTAGTTGGTTGGCTGACTAAGGGAAAAAACATCACATTAGTCTACTTACAGTTCTGTTCTTCCGCAAACACCAGGGACACAACTGCAAGAGTTCAGAAAGAGTCAAACATTACAACACAGTGAAACCTGAGGCCTCTCCTTTTGTTTATTAGGGATCATGAGGGTGGAAAAGCAAAAATATCCCACTGATGAAAATTATAGATTCATGTGGTTTGAAAGAGCGTTAAAAAAAGTACTTGCACTCATATTGATTTTGTGCACTTAATATTGCAAAAGCATTTTACTTTTCATTCTACTTTATGTCTGTTATTTAGACTCATTGACAAATGAAACTGTCAGTATCGATGAATCAAACAGCTCTTAAAAAGCTCTTAAATCTTTGTTGCATTCATTGAAAATCCAGATCTGTTTAAAAACATGACATAATACTCTGGCTGTTTTATCTCTTCTTCTCCTTATCCAGCCCATCTTTCCTCTTCTACAACACCTGAAGGAGCTATGGATGTCGTCACGCTCACTGTAATTGTACAGCACATCATTTTCCATCTTACTTGGGATTTCTACACATAATCAAACATCCATACATTTAAAAATCTCAAGCGAAGGGTCAACCAGACAGGCAGTGACAAGATTATCTCTCTCACAACTCATCCACTCTGCTGCTTTTTGTCTGACTTTGGACGTGTTACATAGTGACACAAAAATGCAAATACTTCAGCAATGTGCAGAGGAAGACAGACCTGCAGGCAGAATGTCCTCTGTGAAGAGGAAGTGGAGCAAACAGATCACCAGTACTTAGTGCGACATTCCGGCCTCCTGATTAGGATATATTTTATCTGTTTTCATTTCCTGTTATATTTTGGTATATTCACCTCTTTCTCTCCCTTTAATTGTGTTGTTATGCGACTCTCTGGTTGACTAAAACTGAATGAAATAGATTTACTCTTTGGCTTCTATAAAGAGGAAGTTACTAATGTAACAGAGGATTTTTAAAGAATGACTGATTAAAGAGTTTTACTCACGTGTCATCAACACCAAAGCACTGATCTTTGACATCTTCACGCTCGAGGTTGTTTACCTGCAGAGATAAATGCAAACACAGACATCATCAGACAATCGAGGAGGTAACTCGCTTCATGACTAATAATAGTTTTGTATACAACTTTACATTCCAAGTTAGTTACCACAGCAAAAATCCTCAGCGGAAAAGATACAAAAACTTTTACAAAAAGTGTGCCTTTACTTTTGACTAAGGCTTGCACATCGATTGAAAACATTAACTACTAACTGTAGTGCTTTGCCGGCCATTAGAGCAAGACTCTAGTTGTATCAAAATGGGGTTAATAACATTATCTTCAGTCCCAATGGCACACATAATCAAATTGTAATGTGTATGTGTATGTGTGTGTGTGTGTGCATGTTAGAAAGCTGATTACAGTACTCCAAGCTGGCTCGCACTAGCCACATGTCAACAGAGACCTGATGCAACATCCAGCCTTTCTGTTTTCTGAGGGGCACCAAAGGGACTAAAACACACACACGTAAGTACGTGCATCCGTTCCCTCTGAAGCACACACAAAGAAATCTGATCAAATTTAGAAAGGCACAAAGTGGTCTCTCCCGCTCTCTTTCACACTCAGACACACACAGAAACTCGATCTGATGTTGATGAGAACAAAGTGCTTTAATGGAGCCTCAACAGGAGAACTAAATCACTCTGCAAAATGCATTACGCTGCCGCCATCTGAAAGCTTCATTTCTTCTTATTTCAATGTTGTCGCTGAATTCTCTACAGGCGTATTCTACCTATAATGTACAGTACTGTATGTATGTACCTATGTACATGTAGTCACCTGCTCCGACTGTCCACATTGCTCTTCTTTCTCTTTCTAAGCTTTCACTTGCTGATGAAAAAATCCATGAGAATAATATTAAAGTGCACTCACCCAAAGCTATTCCTGTCTGTAATGTTATTTTAAATTTACAGCGAGCATGGATGGATAGCGCCAAGCTTCTTTTTGAAGTTCCATCAGTCAAGGGAGATATTTTTATTTTTCCAATGCCTGCTAATTATTGAAAGCTGACAAAAAGCTTTCTCAACTTAAATACTTCCAGTCAGAGCTTCTGCTAACGGTGAGGCAGAATTTTAAATAATCCCACTTTCATTATCCTTAATGAACAAGTACATTTCCTGACAGCCGCAATTACATCCCACACACTGCCTGAGGTACTCTGTGTCCACGCTGTGAGCAGCACCAGAGGTAACGTGTGCTGGGAGGAGACACACCTCGAGTAACGCAGCAGTGATTTTCCACTTATCGCGCTTTTCCCTTCGGAGCTCTCCACAGCGAGGAGCAAACACACACCCATTTCAAACTGGCATTCACACGCCGTCACGTGTGTTTGTGACAACGTGCACAAAAGCTCTATAGAAGAGACTGACAGTGTATCTGATAGGATGAAACTTTTGAAGATGTTATACAGATTCAGCTCCCAGCATGTAGTACTTTTTGTAGCTTAGTTTTTAGAGTATCTTTAAGTGACACACAACAACAGTAACCTCCCAATAAGGGAGTATGTGGGTAAAACAATGCGTCTCCCTGCTCTGCTGTTGGTATTTGGAGTGTGGTAGGAAAGGGAGAAAAGAGAAGAGCAGGACAAGTGCACCTCTCCTGGTGCCTCTCCACAGCAACCCAAGGCGAGGCAGGGGAATGTAGAGGACGGGAAACAGGCCAACAACCACTACAGAATGGTTTACCTCAGGAAAAAGCCACACAGAGAGTAGAGAGAGTAGAGAGAGAGAGAAGGGAGAGATGGAGGGCAAAGATAGAAACACGAGAGAGAAGAAGACACAGGGGGCAAACTGAGGGTGAGACTATTAGAAAGGGGAGGCAGAGGGGAGAAAGAGAAGCGTGAGAATGGGATAGTGTGAGGAACAGAGAGGGGAATATGAAGTATGAGGCGCCTCCCTGTTCCTATTTGAAGATCATATTCTAAAGCAAATGTTAGTGTAAGGCGGAGCCAGGAGGTGACTGCTGCAGGTGTGCTTTCAAACCATTGGGTTTATGGCTAATTAAGAAGCCAAGAGGACCCTGGTGGATGAGTAGAGCATGGTGTATGTAACATGCTTACAAAGCAAAGCGCTCCTTCAACACAACATTCAATATCAAATGTCACTGGTTCAGGCCTGCGACTAACCGTTTTCCCCATTTATCTGCAGATTGACTGACAAAAATAGTTTTCTGTAAAATGTGAGAAAGTAGTGGAAAAATGCAGATCACAGTTTCCCAGAGTCCACGGTGACATGCATACATTACTGGTTTTGTCCAATTAACGGTCCAAACGTTAAAGAAAGTCAGTTTACAAACATATTACCAGCATATAAGACAGAAACGCAGAGAACACGCACAGCGGAGAGGCTGGAACTGGCAGATTTGGGGCTTTTTTGCTTGAAAGGCGACTTAATAAATGAATAGACTATCAAAATAGTTGCCGCTTCATTTTCTGTCAATTGACTAATCGAAAAATCAACTAATTAGGCTGATTTCAAAGAAGGCGGATTCCACAGGAAGCTTTATTATTACAAGCTATATTCTGAAGATATTATGTAAAAAGTATACTTTCCCCTTTGTACAAGTTCCCTTTGAAGCCCTTTGAAGGGATAAAGGGTTTTCTGTTCTGGCTCTGTCATGCTACTCTGCCCGTCTCCAACTGTCCCTCTTTCTGTTGTTTTCAACTCTTTTTCTTCCCGTCTTTAGGACTGCTTTTCTACATTTTTGTCTCATGCTCTAATGTCTCCACATCCTCTACTTCTTTCATACTCATTTCCACTTGTTGTGAAAAGCTTTACAAATTGCCACTGTTTCACGGTGCTCTCCTGCTTTTGATGAGCTGCCGTCTTCTTTCCGATCCTCTCCAGCCTCTTTAAAACTCTCCTCTACTACTTCCCATCTCTGACACACCTCTGCATGTCCCTCTTCCTCTCCTCTCCTCTCGTTAAGTTGTTTCCACTCATTTATCCATTCTCATACAAACTCCCTGGAGCCACAGGCCTTCATAGGCTCTATGCCCGTCTCACTCTCAGACACCATCACCTTCTCTTCTGCACCCTACTCTTCTCTTCCAATCTTATCCAACAGTAAGGTTACACAATAAGCTGCAGGGGCCGCTAAAGAGTCCCAACTCTTACATGTAGCTACGTATCAGTCAGTAATAGCAAAGTACCGTACAGTACTTACTAAGTTTAAATATTTACATTTATATTATATACAGACTATTTCTTCTCTAGGTAGTAGTTCCTATTTAACATTAACTGCTGATTATCAGGGATGAAACGTTGCTGTTGAATTTTTGGAATGCTGTGGGGACCACAAATGGACAACCAAAGATCCTATTATAAGAGGGGAAAGTCATTGTGGATAGTCAATAGACAAAATGTGTGTCAAAAACACACAAACTCAAATATACACACAGAGAGAGACAAGGTGCACACATGCAGAGAAAGGCCACCAGTTGACTTTGAATGTATGTTTACTTCCTCGGTACTAAGTAATGTGACAACACACATACAGACACCCAGTAGGTACACACAGTACGCACAGTCAAGTGCTTTGATTAACTAACATTTGCACCTTAAAAAAGGAAAAGCCTTCACCAACAAACAAATGTTAGCCATCGATTCTTAAAACTGCTTATCCTGTTCAGGGTCGGGGGGGAAAGGGTCAAAGGAACCTGAAACATGAGGAGTATGAAACAATGACCAGTCATCATGTTTAAAAATAAATCAAAACATCTTTACCAAAGTGTGTTTAAATTCATATTTGATGTCGTCTGTATCCCAAAAGACAGAGATACAATTTTGTGTGCACGTGACTGTGTGTGTTACGATATGTGGTGTGCACAGCATGCATGTGTGACTTAGTCTCTGTTGCTATTCCCACTTCCCCACCCGACCGTTTGAATGCTGGACAACAGTGTGTGTGTGTGTGTGTGTGTGCCTTCACTGCACTACAAAGACAGCTGTCTTTTCTCAGTGGCATTTTTTTATTCCTAAATTAGCAGCACTGAATTCCGGTGTGCAACACATCCTTTATGACACACACACACACGCACGTCTCTGGCGTTGTCGACTAAACACAGTGTGAACCTGCTTTGCAATCTGTGAGTTATCTGCTTTTGTCTGATGAATTTATCTTAACTTGTTCCTCCCTTCACTTTACCAATACACTCAGAAATGCATCATTTCATGACGAGAGTACAAGATGTTTCTGTGGAACCGAATGTCTGGAAATGTGATTGATAAAGTGCATGGCGTCAGAGGGTTTCTCAAATAATTAAAAATAAGACTTATTTGTCTCTGTGGCTGCTGAAAAGCTAAGTGATAGCATCTAACAGCTACGGACCAAGATGGGTTTCGACAGATGCAAGTGTGTTTTTTTTTTTTTTACTAGCCTTTATGTAAAGGGAAAAAATAAGTACTCGGGATAGAAAGATAGAGACCGAGGGTGGTGGGGAGGCAGCGGAGGCAGTTAACTAATGAAGAAAGGGAACGGAGAAAGTACAAACAAGATATCAAGTTGGGCAATAAGTGTGAGCAAGAGAGGGAGAGAAAGAGGAAGAAGTAGTTAAGCCTGGGGGAAGGAGAGAGGGAGGCAGGAAGACGAGGGAGAGTGCGGTTGGGGGAGAGCGGGAAGGAGGAGGGACACAGAGAGACAGACAGAGGGTAGGAGGGAGTGGAGCATACTCGAGCCATGACTCACACATGGCAACCACATGGCTCTTACAGTGAGCGGCGAGCAACACACTTCATGCTCCTCACTCTGCAGTCATGATCAACGGACGGAGTACAGTTCCATCATTTCATCTCATCTTCCTCCCATCAAACTAATAACAAGCGCACGTATTGACTGGCAGCTTCTCTAACAAACTTTTTAAATCCCTGCAACAGATGATGCAGGGAATATCTTAAAAACACGGGTGATTACAGTTTGGAGTTTAACGGTTATAACATAACTATGAGGTGTAAATAAGAATATCTGGACTGGTTCTCGCGTTACAAGTCTCTGCTGAGTTGTAAACAAAAGCTTTGTGGTGAAACACGGAATGCACTGAAGGTCACAGTCACTGTGAAATCAATGTCTTCTTGTCGAGGTTTCTAAATTTGAGTCTGTGAGACACCAAAGTGAAGTGAGGAAAGCTGAGGAGGAAGTGTGTCTCGCCTAAGAACGCTCTCCCCTCCAACTGTTTTCCCTCACTCACACTCGTCGTCTTTTTTTAGGGATTATGGTCATGTGAGGAGAGGTGAGGACAGCAAGCTACATTTGTGTCTCCTGAGAGGCGAGACAACTCCGTCTGTCGCCGCCACCTTCCTTCCCACTCCCTCCCTCCCTCCATCTCTGCCTCTCACCCCGTGACATCTCTCATCTCTATCCACCTCATCTCTCTGTCTCTGACAATCTGTGCTCACATAAGGTGAACTAAGGTGCATGTAAATTAAAATACTGTAGCTATCCTGCAGTTAGACAGGTGTGAGTATATTGCGTGAATGTATCTTTGCCACTCATTTGTTAGCCCAAACTATTCTCCCAGTATATGTCGGAGTACTAAAACATCCCAAAACACATTTGGTGCTGTAGTTTGCGTGTCATTTTTTGAAGACACTCTGAAATCAAATCCATTTGTTGCTAAGCAATCATACATTTGTTTTGGCAGAAATGTTACTAATCCACATTTGTGAACACAAATGCCTCTGTATAATTCATGAACGCAAAGAAGACTAAAAGGCATCTTCTCTTGCACTGCTAAATATCATCAATCTGTGATATACGTATATTAGTAATCTCTCTTTATTATGACGAGGAGTTTCGGTTTCCCTCTGTGCCCTGTTTGGTTCTACTTCAGTTACTGATGTCCGACATTTTAACTAGAACAAACCACCACAGAAAGGACATCCACTTGTCCCAGGACAGACAAAGTGTAGCTTGCCAAGGATTATGTTAGCTTTGCAGAATGCCAATGGTCATTCTGCCTAAGGTCATTCTACGCCCCTTGTACACTAAAACCTGACGTTTACCTATGGCGTCTTGTTTACCCACGTGTAGTCCGTATCTGTAACCAGGGGTCACAGAAACACATTCATAATATAAAAACACTGTTTATGCATCTATATCGTCTTGTAGCCAGTGAATTGCTAAACACTTTAATAAGCTGTGTCAAAATGATGTGGAAACCAGCTTTACATTTGGGCTGAAAATAATAAGTCAATACAAACTGATGGACGACAGTTTGATTACCAATTCATTTTTAACATTCTTTATCAAGTAAATACGCCAAATTCTTGAAGGTTACAGCCCCGAAAAATGTGATTGTTTTACACTGTACATTTTGAGGCTTTTGACTGCAAGTATTCTAATAAATAACTTTATTAATCCAGCAAATGATCAATATTTCGTACTCCTTTCTTCCCCTTACAGTTCTACATTGTACAGCAGAATTTCGCATCTCATGTTTCTGTCCTTGTCCCAATCTGTCCCTGTGCCACATAGTAGAACACTATTATCACCAGTGTTCTTATCAACTTGCCTTTTCTCTCTGTGACAGTATGACACTATTCAAATATTCCACTGCAGGAAGTCTTCATTGGCACTGTGCATCAGGAGTAAAATGTCACAAACTGGGGTGACTTTGAATAATTTGTCCAGTGACGGTTCTTTAAAACTTCTCTATCTAATATGATCTATTCATCTTTTTTACAAGTGAAAGAAGGCCAAGGCCAGCATCAAATATAAACACATACAGACTATCTGGTGGGTAAAACAAGAACTTAAAGTACCAACAGACACAACACAACCTTTTTTTATAATGTCAAATAGAGCACTTAAAGCCTGCTGCGTAGTCAAACCCCAAAAAATGTTGACATGAACATGTGTGCTCAAAGCGCGTGGAGGAAGACGTGCCCTCACGTTGGCCCGTGGGCGCGTGCAGGTCCATTGTCCTGGCACCGATTGGCTCGAGTATAAATGTCAGCCGGATAACATTACAGTATGTACAGACATAGGCCTATGTTGTATTGTACTTATACATTATAAAGAATGATGGACTTGTCTCTGGAAAAAAAAAAAAAACTACGTTTCTATATTTAATTCGAGCCTCTTTGAGTTTTATGTTACTTAATGGGCCAGTTAATAATAAATACAGAGATTTAAGTACAGTTTCCATCACAAACAAAGATGTTTAGAAGCTATTTGCTCATCATTAAAAAAAAACTTACGTTAGCTAAATTGTGCTCCATTGGGCTGAAAGTATGCGTACGCGTACATATTGGACATTTTAACTTCATTGACCGATTTTCTCAAATAAAGAAAACACTTTAGAGAACGATATTCTGTGAGATTTGAGATGTTTTCTTTGTCAACACTTACCTATAACACGGTGTATTTAGCAACGACAGAAACGAGGAAATGTCTCCGAAGAAGGTGGATATCTGACCCAAAACTAGCGACTTTTCTCCACACAGTACAGCAACACCCTGCTCACAGCGCTGTCGCACTCAACAGGTTGGTTTGATTTTAGAAAAGGGGGCTGAGTTTGAAATGCTGGAGTTTTGTCCATGAATTCTGATCCCGGGTCGGTTTCTGTCGGTGAAGAGCGTGAAGCTGAAGACAAGCGGGGCGTGGAGGCTGATCCAGAGTCGGGTGGACTGAGAGCCAGGAGGAGGAGCGTGAAGCATTAATGTTTGCTTGTCGAGAACGAAGATGTCGAAGTTTGTCGAGTTAGCGTACACTATAAAACGAATTAGTTTGTACTTCAAATTATAGTGTAATAATGTAGGATAATGTTTGGTATAGCAATGTATTTACGATAGCAATAATTAAGAGGCTATAGGCCCGAATAGGGAAATCAAGATCAATAACTGCCCTTCTCAGTTATAAATGTTAAAGTCATTAAATGTCATAGAGTACGACAGGCTGCCCTTTATCATATACCTGTGAAAAGCAACACGGAAATATTAGCAATTTGGTTCCACATAGCAACATTTATTTTCATTTTGGATGTGAACACCAAAGTTTTCAAAACCATTTTTTCCCCTAATCTTATCAATATTGAAATGGCTGACCACATGATGAATCTAGCTAGTTTATCAACAACCGGCCATAATGACTAAATGTGACACTGTGTTCCTAATAATGCACTATTTCAGTAACAATATACAACATTATGGTAATGACTAAACTCATTTTGAAACAGACTGAATATGTCGAGAAGGTCCACGTGTTTTCAGGGATAAACATCTTTGTGAATATAAACGACCCTATCATTTACATATCAGTACAGATTTCGACAAAATGGATACATGCTTTCACACCTTGCATACGCGGTATATCTTTGCACAGGTCTTTACAGATATATTCATCTGAGCAGTTGTGTTTCCTCCAAACCCCCCACCACACACCCAAATCTCTCCACCCTGCATGCCCGTCAGCTCTTCTTCCAGGCCGAAACCGGTTTGTCAGGCACCATATCAGATTTCACTGTTGTCATCTTCCACTTTTCTATAAGAGACGAGGGAGGGGCGTCAGTTCGCACGGCAGTTTGGGAAAAAAGACAGAGAGACAATAGGGAGACAATGATAGGGTCAACAAGTCAAGTACACACACACACACACACACACACACAGAGAAACATACACACACACACACACACACACACACACACACACACACACACACACAGACATAGACAAACACACACATTCATTTCACAAATGTGCACATACATTTCAGTATATGAGAAGAAAAAACGTACTTGTTCTTCATGGAGCACCTGTTATCTGTGAGGGCAAAGAGGGATGTGTTACTGAGCTTTATTACCACTCTGGTTCTTTTATTAGCATTCATTTGGGAATTAAAAAACAATTAAAATGCTTTCATAGGTTTACCATACAGGATAATATATCCGTGCGGTTTCAGAACTCACAAAGTAAAATACAGAGTCCTCCGACAAACAACAAGCTGGAACAGATCAGGCCTCCAATTCGTAGCGTTTTATAGTCTGTCAGACAATGATGTTAGAAGTTAAGAGGGTTTATTGACAAAGCAAAAAATCAATTGCAAAGCAAACATATCTAATAATTAAATGCAGACTAATATATCATTGTATTTATGCTTTATCTAACAGACAGATATATTTTTAAATATCGCTTTTTGACATTCAAATTTGCAGTGGCTGCTCTTGTCATTGGGCACATGCGATTTGCAATAATCTAAGTGAATACATGAAACTCTGCACTCGTCTTTTTATAATCCATACATGGAGTGAGACGCTACTGCGCAGTTTATAAGAATTAGGAGTTAAGCGTGTCTGTACTTACTGTACTCAAATGGATCTGCAGACCAAACACAAGAGGAGGAGGAGAAACAAGAGAAGGGGAAAAGAAACATTAGTAACATTACTCACTTTAACTTGCTTCAATCGATGATGCAAGATGTTGAAATTGTACTCTTATGAACTACTGCAAATGTACAAGGCGGCCCTCACAAAGCATTGGTCCATGTCTCTCTGTTATGTTTAATCTTTTCAAGCATCCATTTTGGGATGGTAACATTACAATTGCCCTGAATTTGGCCATTGTTAACTTGGTGTTAGTTTGATTTCTTCCTAAACCAGTTTCTAAACAAACCAGTCTCAGAACAAGACGAGATGAATGGAGAGTTTTGGCCTTACTTGCTTCAGTTTCCATGAAAAGGGTGAAGAGAACTGGAAGAAAGTCAAACAAAAGAAATGGTAATTTCGTTGAGTGGGAGTGTACTTTACTCCAAACATGTCAGTGGCTCTGCTAGAACATGTCTCTTAACAGAGTTTTTAAGAATTATAGTAATTTTTTCTTTGAAAACAAGTTGAATTACGAGGTTGTCTGGGTCACGTGATGCTTTTTGAACAAGTGACCTTTTGTATGCCCATACATTTAATTGAGAATAAAATATCTATGATATTTCGTTGACTTATTCGTTTTCTTTTTTCTTTACCTGCCATAACAGCCACAACAGTGAGATGTCCCATCTTCAACACAACTAAGAGTCAGCTAGAAAGAGAATCAGATAAAGACAGAGAGAGCGAGAGACAACATATGATTGTGGGAAAGAATAGAAAACAGAGTAGAACCTTTTCTCCCATCACGGCCTTTGTTTCTCACACATACACACACATGCATACAAGCAACAAAGCACACACTCCTCCCTCTCCCCGGGAAGAACGTCCTTGTTGTGTGAGAGGTCAGTGTCTCGTCAGCAGGGATGCATTCTGGGTGTTTGGAGAGTAAACAGCGGATCATTTTTTGTCTTGGGGCGAAATCCAGCTGGTTTCCAGACAACTTTTCTGCAATCTCCACTTTATTCCAGAAAAAAAATCATTGCTTTGGGCCAAACACTGTCATGTACTTTACAGCCTCCAAAGATATTTGCTGATTTTCTTTCTCTTTACATGAGCAGTTGGATTTTTTTACTGACTTTATAAAGTTGATGTCTTATGAAGCATCCAAAAAACAGCTTTTCATATACATTGATAAGTTTTATAGTTTTATCATTCGTATTTAAAAATAGATTCATATTCATAGCATGACAAGTTGTTATATTGGCAAATGTATGATCAACACAAAAGCCAACAGCCTTCTGTAACCCTTAAAATAATACAAAACACTATAACTAATATATACTTAGAGTATGAGAGAAGTGGACATGCAACAGGACCTTTCAGCGACCTCACTGTAACCTCTAGCTGATCTTGGACACCCTTGGGCCTCCATAGAGATTAGATTCACTGCATCCAGTGCCTGCCCTCTTGTTTTTGCTTCCCTCAGGCTCAAACAAGTTCTCTATTCACAGATGTCTCTTTGTATTCAAACAAGTCTGACTGGAGGATCAAATACTGGCTTGACGCTTGCTTTTATTCTGCATGTAAATTCTTGCAGAAAAATACAGTTTGCACCAGCTTTTCAAGAAATGGACATCGAATAGAAACAAAGACAATACGGAGACTCCTTATCATTCTTTTGTCCTCACTTATCCTCAATCATGGCCTTTTGTCCTCTGTCTAAAATGTCATTGCAGCTATTGATTAGCATGACATTAGCCAAGGTCAAACTCTGTCCCATGTCTTAAAATGTGTCCCATATGTCAGATGACAGACGGAATAGACTTTCTGCTTGGGTTTAAAAAGGTTTGACAAAATAATTCGGTTTTGCTCATTGGTGGATGTTACAGTTCAGTGTGCTTCACAGATTACCGATGTTCTGCCAACATCCTCATTCTTAGGTTTGAATTCTTTAGTTAACCAAATTTCTGCAGTGCTGGCCTTCTTAAATATTTTAAAATCCTGATCCAGTTCTGAAAATGTATTGTTGTCTGAGGTTCATTGTAAGATAGCAACATGTTGCTTTTGTTAAGTCAAGACAAGCCAGAAATCAGCCCATATGTTATTATAGTGCTCGTCATAAATGGACACAATGTCATAACGTATAAAACAGAAGCTCCACATGCATAAACAAACGGACACATTCAATATATAATACATTTTCAGTACAAGCACATTCGCTTTTCAATTTGTGATAATTTTCCTCTGAATCTCCAAAGCAATTTAAAAGCTCTTCTTTCAGTAAAGTCTTCAAATGGACTCTACCTACCACATGTCTATATCTTTGATACTGCAAAACCCTAAAATGACAACCTTCAGAATAAAGGATAATCACATAAGAATCACAACCCCTCCAATGGAATTTTTCACAGGAATCTGACCTTGACCCCTCACACTGAGTGGCATCCCATCTTGCTCCACTCTATAGATCTGTTCTTACCTGAGCTGACGGTTCAGGAGCAGAGAAGTGTGTGCGAATGTTCCAAGACTCTGCCTGGTCAAAAGTGTGTATTATCTATTTCACCTGAATAAGTAGCAGCTGCTCCTCCTCTTTGTTTGGGATGTAAACTTGTGCGGGACACGTTTACGTATAGACCAGTGGCAATGTTATTCCATAAACATCAGCGTATGTGCATGATGGAGTGAAAGTCACTTATTACACACTTAAACTTACACTAAGGTACACATTCATAACTTTATATTCTAATTGTAACATTAAATTAGCTTTACACCACCTGTGATTCACCAGCAAGACTGCTTTGACCCAACAGTGACAGTCAATAGAGCCTTTACACTCTGTGTTTAAACAACATATCAAAGTAGCAAAACCAGAGGGGTATCAGTCAATGAAAATATGTGGAGAAGAAAAACTGTGAGATGATGGGATGAAATCATCTCAACTTCTCATGCGGATACAACAAAATTAACTTCAGTTTTTATTCTTCAACAAGTGCATATCAAATCCAATAGTAGACAAAGACAGGAGGAGTGTGTGTATGTATTGTACAGTGCATTATTTGTGTCCTTCTTTATCTGACTTCATTGTTGTCTCCCCCTCTGTGGCTCTGTCAGGTTTCCTAGGTATCTGCCAGTGCTCCGCTCCCTGTGGAATAGACTGCACTCTGTTGGTTTTATGGTTGTCAGGCATTTCACTTTTTTTTTTTAACTAACCCTGGGCAGGAGGGAGAGATGTTTACTGTAACCTATCTCAGGATTGATTTACATTCACACTCTTTCTTGAAAGATTTTAAATTGGGAGTTAGATCAATTCTATTCACCTTTAATACCAAATTTGTTTCTGGTACATGCTGCATTGTACGTTGGTGGGTATCTCTGTTGGTGTTGTATACTCAATACATGTGTTCAGAACTATGCAAGTGCATACATGTGGCACAGTGGTGATCTGTGACTATTAATATCATTTCACATGCTGACAAAGCCGAGGCATGCATCAGCCTCTCAACAAATGATAATACTGTGAGGGCAGAAGAGATAGAGAATGACAGAGATACAGACTATAGATTAGGATGTGTGCGTGTGTGTGTGTGTGTGTGTGTGTGTGTGTGTGTGTGTGTGTGTGTGTGTGTGGTCAAATATGTGTGTGTGTGTAAGTGATAATATGACAATTTGACAGCAAATTAACGCAGCAACTGTGATGACAAAGAAAGCTGAGAGAGAAAGAATAGAGATAAGACTTACAGTGGCTTATTCACTCCCATCACATCTTATAGACTCATTTGCATGGATTGGATTTCATGGCTTACTCTAAAAGCATCATTTTCTCAAACTGATTTGTCTCCAGTTTACAATGACGTCTATAATGCACAATAATGAAAGAGTGAAGAGCTCTGTGGTTGCACAGTATCTGTTGTTCCTGGCGTGTGTCTGCGTGAAGCATAACATTGTTTATGTGAGGTTAAATAAAGGTCACTGTGTCCCATGTCAATAACATGTCACTGATAGAATTAGAGAGCGGATACTCGGTGTGGGGTTTCTTTTAGTATTTGTAGGATCTAGGATGTTTTTGTCCGTGGTGAAAACTAAGATATTATTTTCCTCAGCAACGCATCACGTCATATCTGTAAAAGTAATAAAAGATGTACACTGATGCAATTAAATGGATGAACGTAGCTTCACAATAACATCAGCTTGATAAAGAAATACAAGGATGCCATTGTTACAGCAGCATGACTATCTGATACATGTACAGTAGACATCAAATGTAAATATTAGCAGTTGACAAAAGTGGAAACAAATCCTGTATTTTGTTTACTTATCTTGCTTTTCTGCTTTTGCCTTTTGTTCCTTTTAAATAAAAAAGGAACAAAGACAGCAGAGGACGTCTGGTTATAATAGAGGTTAGCTGTATAGGTCAGTTAAAAGGATTCTACAAGTTGTAAAGTCTATCGTCAGCTCTACTGCTAACTTCACTCAATTTCTTCAACTTGTTACTATTTAACTTTATTTGTAATAGTTTAACATTCCCTTTAATATTTCCTCAGGTATTGAAAGGTGCTGCAACTTAAACTGATCCCTTTTCAGTTAGGGTCATCTTGAACAATGTAGGTTATCAGTGGACACACACACACACACACACACACACACACACACACACACATGGTTACGCATGCGTCTCTGTTATGGTGGTATTTAGGATGTTTGTCCATAAACAGTAAAACTAAAGGTCAAGGATTGGGTTAGCTTACATAGCAGAGAATAAGATCCAGTTACTTAGCTTCGCTTATGTATGAAAAGATCCTCTGGAAATTAAATCAACCTGTAGCTAATAGATCGTAATTCTTAATGTCATCTTTGGAAACTCTTAAAAACGTAGCGCTGGGTCCTCACATGACAAGAGCGTTGTGTATTTAGACACGTTATTTTGGTCCTTTTTTCCCCAACCCGAAATTTTAAAAATGACGAGCAAGACGTGACCCAATTGACTCCTGCTGTAAATGCATCACAATATTGTCTTATCTAAACGTTTGCCACGCAAACACAAAGTAAGACTTCATCTTCAGGGTTGGAGAATGTGAAGAAATCAGACACCAGAATATGACAGCAACCTATCACGAGTGAACCGAGGTGTAGCTGAGCAGCTGAGTCAACACGTTGCTCCATACTGCCTCTGTTGTATCAACTAAAAGACAAGGCTGAATTTCTCTCCTGCTGATTGCCCTCTGTGTGTGTGTGTGTGTGTGTGTGTCTCGCTGGCTGTCCATGCTGCTCTATCAGGTGTCACAACACACAGTCAGAGGAATGAAAGACCACCGTCAAAAGCAGTCAAATACCAGTTGTCATATAACATTGTTTAGCGCTCAATCAATTCTCTTCCAGTCTAAAGTTGAGAGTTTCCTTACAGTTGCCATGAGCAGCTGTTTTTGAGTAGTGAAATAGCATTTTTTCAGTGAATTTGGTAACACATTGGGGAATGTTTTAGTGTGTCATGGTTTAGAGTCACATTGACACTTTATCAGGGATTTTGATTGGATATTTCACAACCCTATGTGTTTAAGATCATCAGATCATTTTGAGGAAAAGGGTAATTTCCTCCATCTAATATTTGAATTGCATGTTGAAGGACCTGCTAATAACTTATATTGTTTCAGTAATGTTGTGCCACATACCAATAATATGTGAAGTTGAGTCAGTATCTGTATAGCATAATTAAAAACATTATGAGTTGACCCAAAGTGCTTTCCAGTAGAGGTGGAGGGGTTAAGAGCTGCCTGAATGCAGGTATACACAATTAAAGACAAAAAAGGTGCATAAAATGCATTAAAACATAATGTAATACACTAAAACAACAACAACAAAAAGTATAAAATAAAATGAAAAGAGAAATTGAACAAAAACCAACAGTAAATTTAAAAAACAGTAAGAGGGCATTAGAAAGTTAAGAGGGGACTTGACAAAAGCCACGGGGCCACCTCACTCTAAACCAAAAGCAAGCAAAAAAAGGTGTCTTTAAAATTGAAAAAAAGTCAATTGTGGAACATTTGTGAAAGGGTGGGATGGGTCAACCCCATACACAGTGAATTACTATAATCAAGCTGGATAACTGTTACCAGCTGAAATAAAACAGCTTTCATTTAGCTACCATTCCAAGCTGATATAAGCTGATGAATCAACATAAAGACAGAAGAGGCAATGACAGCAACACCGCAAGACTGTGGAGGTCTTGTTCCTGACACAAGCAGACATGTAAGGAGTTCACCACCAGGGGGAGGCAAGAGACATACCAAAGTTGTGATCACGTGTACATCACTGGCCTTCACTGGTTGCTATGGTCTACCTAACAAGTGCCCATGCAAAATAACAAAAAACGTTTATTATGACTCAGAACCAATGTAAAATCTTCATGCAGCAGCACAATGTTCGTGATAATGAACCCAGGTTCTTAAGATGAAGGGATACAGAGATAAACATCCATGTGCACAATTTATAAAAACATATTAGAAATACAAACTAATACAAACTACCAAACAACAAAGTGTGAGAACCAGTTGAATGCTGCTTTCAAACATCTAGGATTGTACTGTAACAGCACATCCAAATGGAGAGTCAGGCACATGAGAGGAACATTAAATTGTCTTCACTGTCAAAAAAATAAAAAGCAAGTTTTTGTTTCAACATCAAGCAGCTGTAATTTGGTCATGGGCCACACACTTCCCTTTTTGTAAAGACAATGACTCGGTAACCACAAAAACATCAGGACAATTTACTTCAAAATGCAAATATATACAAACACTTTTTATAACATATAACTTCACCGGTTGATTCCCCAAAAAAGCAACTTCTTCATTAGAGTTTGTATTGAATAATATGGTAAATAAAAGTGCAACATGCTGTGATGGAAACAGAAAAAGTTGTTTTCGTGTTTGGTATTTACAATCAGTTCTAGTTAAGGGGAATATGTCTCTACTGCAACAACAACTAAGTAGCTCGTAATCTGTGGAGTGAGTGCTTCCCTCAAGTGGACAAACTGAAAGTGTAACTGACTAAACTGGTATAACAAGCACAGCTGGCACCTCACTAGTAAGTATTTTACCTTCTATAGCTTGTGTAATACAGCTGTGAAACAGATGTGGAAGCGCAAAGAGCAGCTCTTCTATTCCTCATTCAAACAGTGTCGGTCTGCAGACAATCACTTGCTCAGCACTTTCATAGCATCGCAGTAACCACTTACAGTGACTGCTGCGGTCAGTAGCTCAACCTGCGGGGGACACTTTCATTGTTCCCTTTTTATCACATGAGGCATTAACTATTACACATTTAAACAATTGCGACTTCAAAATCATACATTACATACAGTCTGACTGCTGCTCTCTCTCAACACAAACACACACCAACCCACAACAACACATCTGACACATGATTTTGAGGTATATAAAGTAAAGGCAGTGCACATTGACGTGTGACCCTGCACCAAGTGGGAAAAGATATCTGCTATAAGCTTTTTTTGGTGTTTTGTTTGACGTGTGCATGCTATATCATACACTGTTAAGATGTTTATAATGAGTGCAAGGTCCAGTTATTGAGGACAGAACAAGGAAGTGAAGATACCCAGGATGGATCCAGCCTCAAAAGACAACATAACCTGCAGACCTGGAGACCTAAATACAGCTTTTATTTCACTTAGACTGGTCAAAAAGGATAATTCATGTTTCCATTCTCTGTTGGTTAGAAGGTTCAGAGCAACTTCAAGCAAGCTGTCTCCTTTCACTCCTTCGTTACTATTGTGGTCATATCATCTTGTGTTTCCTTTCCCCCTGCAAGCACAAAGACATGACAGATTACTTATTGGTTTACAATGCGTTCACCGGTGAATTGAGGCAGAGTACTTACTGAAGCACTTCTGGAGGGTCTCAGATCTCTGCAGCATGGTATACGATAAACCGAATACCAGCAGCGTGCCGAAGAAGCCCCCAATGATACAGCCAATGAGAATGGCGTAGCTGGTGCCGTTATCTAGGGGAGAGGACAACAGGACAGAGTGAGGGAGGAGAATTTACCACAGATGTCAGTATAACTACTTGTTATTTTAAATTACAGGTGTACCACAACATGTAGAATTAAAATAGCAAAATTAATTTAAATATGTATTGATGCTGTGATAAACATGATGAGAAAAATATAGATGTTAATTTGAAACTGTCTTCACCATAAACGTATAGGACGGCAGCAGCTGCATTAGGATTCTCTGGCTGCTGACACACGACTCTCGTGCCGTTGTCAGAGAAAGAAGTTCCCCTGAGGGTCCACACAGCTAATGACTCTCCATTTTTCATATCACAACTTCCATAGAGAGCCTGAGGAGAGAGACAGGGAAGGGAATGAAGAGGCGTTCAGATGAGGAAGAATAAGAGATTGATGCTCTTACCTTGGTAGAAATGTTTTGAAATCTTACAGTAAGTTAGAACTAGAAAACAAAAGCAACTTTCAACTGAAGTCAGAGTTCAATTACTAGCTGCTCTGAGAGACGTTGCTTACTTCCTCAGCTCTGTGACTGTGTGACAACAAGATAGTGTTACTGAGGGGAAGAGGAGAAGAAGATGAGGATAAAGTGAATAAATACAGAGTCGGACGGGGACCACCTTACCTGGGGGATATCGTCCACGTGGCCCGAGGGGCATGTGAGGCTGTAGTTTGCATTACTCCTGTAGAAGGTGAATGTGAAGTTTGGAGAAGCTCTGGGCACTCCACAGCGAAACACTGCAGGTTCTCCAACAGCCACTGTGAGGTCAGCTGGGTGTGTGAGGTAACTGAGGGCTGCAGGGTCTGCAGCTGATGTGGTGGTGGTGGTGGTAGTAGTAGGCCTAGTGGTAGTGCTTTGAGCTGAAACCATGATAAAGTGTGGAGGATGTGTGTGTGTTTGTGAGTGTGAGAGCGATAAGGAGGAAAGAGCAAAATATGGAAAAAATTGGATAAAATCACAAATAATGAATTTATTTACAGACATTTAAAGGCATTTTATTATCTGGTTTAAATCATTTTCCAATTATTCAAATTTAAAAAGCCAATCACATCAGGAAGCATTGAAATATACTTTGTTTAGACTACTATGGATCATTTTTTCAGGCAGTTTTGTGTGGTCAGAAATGTAGGAAACCAGTTCAGGAACCAAACAAAGACTCCAAATAAATACACAGTGCAACATTGATCAAACAGATCCAGCATCATAGAGTCTGGTCTTGCTCAGCACACTGTGCACATCAGAACTCAGATAATTGTTGAGTTGAGTTCTTGTCCTATGCAACACAAAATATCCACCCATCCTTGTGTTTTGTTTACAGGAACTGAATGCTTTATTATGCAAAAGTCCTTCCTCTGCCCTCATAAACATTTGAATATTTTAATAAATGTCTTGGAAGAGTGGAAATATTTGTGATACAAAAATGCTGCAGTCTCTTAAGTTTTTTTCTTACCGACTGCAAAACATTACCAAGGTCAGGTTAGTGTCTATGCATGTTTTCAGTTTAAATAAGTACGTAACTTTGAAATCCTGGACGTGGTTAGTTACCTGAGGAGGGCGCGGTGATTTGGAGCACAGCCAGCAGCTGCAAGCAGAAAAGAGAAACCTTCCTCTTCTTCCTCCTGTCCATTTTTTTTCTCTTATTCGTCTCTCTTATTTCATAGGTCAATCTGCAGATAAACAGTCAAATGGTTTTTTTTTTACATTAATGATGATTTTAGATACACATTTAATGTGAAAAGGCTGCCAGTATTTTAGGACCTGTAAAAATGATTTGAGAAATAACTATTATCATCTATAGCAATATTTAAACCACAGATTTTATTTCAGGAGTGTGTTTGGCCTAAGCAGCGTATATACACCACACAATGATCTGATTTAATGTTCATTAAGTCATTCTGAAAGTCTTTCTCCACTTTTAATAAACATCTGATTGCAGGCCCCTGTGTTATGAAAATTAAAGGTTAACTTTTATAAACAGACAGATCAAATATGTTTCACGTTTCAAATCAACCATTGTATCACTTCTATTTTGTTCACTGAGCTCTTGTCATCCATAGCTGTTTTCAAATTAATGTTTTTCTAAATCAACATTCTGTTCCCCAGCATCTTGACTCTTTGGTCTCCAAATCGGACAAGGCTTTTGACAAATAAAGTAAAATGGAAAAAGTATCTTGAAATGTAAAGAAAGAGATTATTGCCACTAACCTATAAAGTGAACTGGAAATTCCACAGAAGGTCTGCAGGCAGTTTCCTTATTTGAAGAATATGACGCAGCTCCTTTAAAAATAAATGTTGAAATAAACTTCTCAGAAGTCACCTTCTCTAAACTGTTAGTCTGACATATATCCACTGCCCCAATAAACAACAAATAGACCTACTCTCTCTACATCTCTGTCCGTCTCACTCCAGCCTCCCGCTCCAACCAAGTGGAAAGTTGAGATCATTAAGGTATGTGGACATTTTCCTGAGTTACAAGATGGATTTCTGCAAATGAAAACGAACAGGTTGAGCAGGCCTGACCTGAACCAATAATAGCTGCTGTGAGAAAAGTCAGTGCTTTGCAAAGTTTTTCTGCTTCCCTGTTTACGTTCACACTCTCTCTCTCCCGCTCTCTCTCTGTCTCAAACACACACATATACCCCCATATACCCCCCCCCACAGACACACACACAAACACACAAATCAACATGAACCTGGTCTCTCATCCACTGACTGAATGATGTTAATGGGTCTGTAGTCTCTGTTCTTGTCCTCTTCTTGTTCTGTTGTCTTTTGTCTTGCATGAAATAAGATATTATTTTTTCAAACATCACTGTCACTTTGACATGGAGGTACAAAGCATCATGAATGCTGAACTTATAAAACATTATTTCCACCATTTTTAATTCTTTATAACCCTATAAAGAGTTTTATGAAGCCTTATGAATTTCAAACAAAGAAATCAACTCAACGTCATCAAACTTGTGCTGCTGCTGGAACTCTTCTCTGGCTGAAGGAGGACAGCACACACACACCTGTTCACTTCGTCAATCTCTATTTATTTCAACAACATTGTGCTGAATCAAAAGCCCAACGTGTCCTCTTCAGGGGCCGAGCAAGAAGTCTAAGTTACAAACAACTTTTTATACATTTCCAAAAACATGTTCACACATAACAAGGCATCCTGTAATAGAATCACATCACTGGTGATTAAACCATAACATGTGTCACCTGTATTAACTTGTGTGTGCTTTAAAAATCATGGCACCATCTTGTGGTTGAAATAAGAAATACAACAAGTTGTATCCAAACTAAATAGCAACAGTTGAATTTAACATAAGGATTCATCTCAAGTCTCAAATCATTGTGGACTCACACATGAAGGTGCTGGTGAACGCTTTGCCCTCCTACATACAAGACACCACTGACATGCTGCTAAAGAGCAGTGCTCTCATTGTTGATGAGAAGGATTTACTAACCATAGATGTGAATTCATTCTGTTGCTCATGAGGAAAAACTACAGTAGCTTAGTCTTGTTTCAATTTAATGAAGTGCACCGGCCTTTGACACAATCACCTCCTACAGCTGAACAATTACACTGACCCACCGGACCAAACGCCACCAAACTACCCCATGAGGAGAGGCAGGTGAGCCGAGATGGAAGTTAAGATAACCCAAACTAGCTAGAACCTAAGACTGCTCCACTACCCAGTGTACTGCTGGCTGTCTGATGTTCTAACCGCATCTGTCGTTGACATAGGGTACCGTTCCGAACGAGCAAAAGTGAGTTCCCTGACCGGGAATCGAACCCGGGCCGCGGCGGTGAGAGCGCCGAATCCTAACCACTAGACCACCAGGGACTGTTGAAGACGCGCTGACACTGATACTTTATATTAATAATGTGAAGACAGACTGCCATACCAAGACTGGTTTAGCTTGGCCTCATATTCAATGCGGTGTTGTTCGGAAACAAAATAGCCAATAGAATTGTACACCGTAGTGAGTAACGTCAGTGTAAAGTCGAAGGTTACACTGCCCCTACTGGCCGCTACACGCTGTAGCGCGTAGGCCTTAAAGAACTGCCTGAAGCAAAATCCAAATGTCTGGAAACATCATATTTAGGTTGACAAATAAATACACAACTGAAAGCCTTTGTTAGTCATATTCAATTGAAATCAAACCAGAATGTGAAAGTGATTACAGCGTAGCAAGAAATATTTAATTTAGGTAAACCGGCATTTCACGAAGCTTCCCCGCAGGGTCCTGGCTGGGGTCCTTGGTCAACGTGGGAGACGCGAAAATGTGAAGTTTATTTTGGACCTGACTGGAATTTGTTTCACCATGGTCGCCAATTCATAAAATATAACAAAACGCCTGTCGGGGTTTCGGTGGAGTCTGTCTTATCATGATGCCGGGTGACAGCCGTTTCAAAACGGCAGCAATTGCAGCAGACGCGACGGTTGGAAACTGTCAAAACTGCCCTGTTTTGCACCAGGTCAGATCATCTTTCTACAGAAAAGTAATTTAAGAAGTTCCGTTTCATCTTTATAGACTGAACATAAACAGTCTGTTGTGACGTGGACCTGAATTAATGTGTTTTTTTAATTTTATCAGCTCAAGTGAACGTTGTTGGTAATAATACATGTCCCTGTTTGTTTTTGTTTTGCTTCTTCCCGTCTCTTATTACAGAGCCTGACAGAATATGTGTCGTCATTTCTGGCCCTGAAACAGAAGATAACGGTTTCCGAGTGAGTGATAATGAGTTATAGTTGACATGGGGAGAGGTATCATCATGAATATATTACAGTTATCTTCCCGTTATTGAGCTGGACACTAGTAATGCTTCGTCGTTTGAAATAACTAACGCTAATACCCGTCAATATCCAGGAAACATACCCATTTTGCAACGTTACTGACATGTCTACGGACTCCACAGGTACCAGGTGTAAACTTGTTAATTTAATACTAAAAATCTGTGCTTACTGATTATGAATTTGTTCCCCAACGTGTCTTAACGTAACGTTATTATCTATGGGAGTGTGTCTAAATAAAACACTGGAAATCAATTAACAAGATGAACACTAAGTTTAACCATGTGATTTTGATCGATTGTTAATATAGCACAGTCAGTCAATATCGCTATTGTATCACTATTAACTGTTGACGCTGTATGACGCTAAATTGTTTGTCTGTCGACTCTGGATTTTGGGGAAAAAAATTGTAACCCCCACGTTACTTAAATAATCTCAATAATATGTAACTATTATCTTCCTGTGTAGTTTATGAAGGATGCATGCACTCAGACGATATGTTCTTTCATGCTGTATGCAACTGGTTTTAACACATTCCTGTTGTGGACACATTTTATGCAGTGACACGATCAGGCTTCAACAACAGCTGGGAGAGCTGCAGATCAGACTGGTTACGCTGGAGAAAAAGACTGCAGATTATGAATCTGTGCGAGCAGAACTGGAGGAAAAGAAGGTATGCCCTTTCTTAGTAGAATCACATTTAAAGCATATTCCCTCTGACCGTAATAATGTATCTGTCTTCTCATTGTAGTGATTCCGCATAAAATCCCTGCATAGGTTTTTCTGCTGTCATGCTGATACAGTATTCACACTGTGTATTATTTTTCATAGGGTGCTCTTAAAACCTATGGACAGATGTCTGAAGAGATGGACAAATTGAAGCAGCAAAACAGCAGGACAATGGCAGAGTAAGAGATAGTTATGTCATGACAATGCAGATCATTATATTGCAATGGTGGTATCTTTGTGGTAAAATGTTCACTATTATCTTCTCATCTCTCAGGAATAAGAAGCTTGAAGACCAGCTAAAGGATGTGGAAGGTACTTAGCATTCATTCACATGCTCTAACTTTAACAAGGGAAGAGTTGCATAATTTGTAAATAATAATAATATATGAATATGTGTTAAAGGCAATACTGATTTTTATGTTTTTTTTTTGCCTAATTGTCTTTCAACCTCTAAGAACTGACAGAAACACGGTCACTTGAAAATGCACGGCTGAAGAGGGAAAAGGCCGTTGTAGAAAATGATTTGCTGAAAACACAGGTAAGCTAAAAAGTCATCTCAAAATACACTTGAGTCTTTTCAATTTTGAATCTCATAACTGACAACGAGACACAAGCTTTGTGTGCTAAATGTAGCTAATGGGAACTTCATGATCTTTGTTCATTTTTATTTTCACCTCTTCAGACGTCTTTGAGGAAATCTCAAGCACAAGCGGATCAAGTTGAAAAATTGATAGAGGAGAACGCCAAGACAACAAGCATGTAAGAAGTTTGTAGATGTGGTTTCTTAAATTGGACATTAATGGGTGTCATGTCTTTGTCTCTCCTGGTGTGTCTTTTGTGTTATTTGATATGAAACCTTGATGAATTTTATGTTATCATTATTCATGGTTCATTGTTTATCATTATCGTCACGCTTGTGAGACAAATCATTTAAAAAAAACTGTGCTAAAAGTCCCCGTGTTGTTTCCTCCTCAACAGAAAAGACAACCTTGAAAATACAGTTAGACTTCTTGAAGGTTAGTATTGAAAATTGGATTTCACACAACAGCATGTCTTGAATCTGTGTTTATATGATAAACGCTTGTTTGTGGGTTTAGCTTTTCATATTTTTGTCTGTATTTCAGATTCAGTTTCCAAACAGAATCATCAAATATCCCAACTGACCAAAGATAAGATTCTGCTCGAGAGAAATATTGATGACCTCCAGGTGCAGTAATGATCTTTTCTAAATGTATATTTGGTGGAAGATTTTCTCAAATAATGTTAAACTGACATTATTTTGTGTATAATTTCAATTAATTTGCAGGTGAGGCTGATGAAACTGGAAAGAGAAAGAAATAAAGGTACATTTACAAATGCAGTGTTAAAGTTTTTTTTTTGCTGTGGTCAAATTTTGTTTCTTCAAAAAGTTACTTTTCAGGAAACAAAAAAAATAGCCCAATTGAACAAATGTTTAAAATTATGTTCCGAAGGCTCTAATGTAAATCTATAAAACAGCAGCAACTTTTTCTGACTTAAAATTATATTTCAATTTTAAGCAATATCTGGATTTTCTCTCCACAGAGTATAGGAGCGCATCAACTCAAGCACGTGCACCCGAGGAGCCTAAAGTTGACAAAGGTATACAATCAGCTTCACTTATTATTCATAACATTAACTTAAGGAGCTTATCACATGCAGATTGTGTGATTGTTTGTGTCTGTTTTTCAGAAAAGTTCCAGATGCTGCTACAGAATTTGTGGGCATGTGTGGAACCTCAGCAGCAGCTCTCTGACAACTTATTGCACGTACCTGGTGAGGCCCCATTAAGCTGTCTGGTATATCTGTGTGTTATTACTGACATAACTCAAGAAGTGTCTTCACTTTGAATACTTCGATTTAGTTTGTATTTCTTTCATCAGTTTATTTTATTGCAATCCTCTCTTTTATTCTCATAATTTCAGAGTCCGGGTCCAAACAAGTTCTACCCTGCTCCCCACAAAACCGACTGCACCCTCATCTGAGCTACGCATCCCAGTCTGCTTCCCATAAGACTAGAGAATCCCACAGTTCCCCCATGCAAACGAATGCCACTTTGACCCAGTTAAAACCCTCTCCTCGTAAGCAGAAAGCCATCAAGCAGCAAGCGTCTCTGCAGTCAACAAGTGCCATGAAGCAAACAGACTCTTCCAAAAAGAGCAGGCGATTGTTCAAGGAAAACAAAAGTGAGGGGTCATCTGCTGACCTGGGCAGCTCCGAAGTATCTGTTGGGAAAATACTGGCATTGTTCAAACCAATGCTTCCCTGCATATCACCTCTACCAGATTTGGTGAGAAATCGGATATATTTCATGCAAAATGCTTCCTTTATTTCCCACAAAATCTTTGCACGGGAACAGTATTACCTGGGGCCCTCTATTAATTTGTAAGAATGTTGTCTGTGATCTTAATTCTTTGCGAATCTGCCAAGTAGTAATTTGTCAAGTAAAAATTCCACCGCAAATTACCAGCCACATTTTGCCAAACACAGAGGTCATGTAATAATACGAGTAAAACAGACGTGGGGTCCCCGAGTAATACTAGTCCTGTGCGAAGAGGGCTTAATATTTCTGATGTTTAGATGAATGGTGGTTAGTGCAAGTTACTGTGACTTTGAAAACACTTGCTGGGTAGTGTATCGTGTGTTGATTGAATTATGACCAATATGAGAAACACACAAAACTCAGATTTTCTTTGTCTGACGTTGTGAATATACTTGTGATTTATATGTTAAATGGAATTCCAAAGTGCTCTTTTCAGCACTGACATTTGTCTTGCCTTCTGATCAGCCTGGTCCTCAAAGTGCCATGGTGGTTGTATCTTATTACAAATGACATCCATGTCTTCTCCTTTCTGTTGTGTAGGACACAGAGATGGACTCTATGGAGACAACTGATTGCGAAAAGGAAAACCATCCCAAAATCTCAGATGACGGTGTTCTTCATCCTCAAGAAGAGTCCCTCCTCATCACAACATCAATAACACAGCACTGTCTGAAATCTTCCGCACTGCCAACAGAGGAGACGGTGGACTTGCCAGTGGTCACAACACAGGAAGCGGAAGACATTTCCAGTGAAAATGACTCCAAAGACTTGGGACGACGTGAGTTGAGTGGCTTTACGGAAATGACGGGCAAAAGTGGCCCAGGTGGTGAGGAAATACATCTTCAGAAACAGATCCTGTTAGAGCAGGACCCAGCAACTGTGCAATTAGTGTCAGCATCGTCTTCTTTATCTTCTTCCGCATCAGACATAACAATTTTGGTTGAGGTTGTCTCGTTGACTACTGAAAGTCCAAAGCCATCCTGCGGTGAAAATGCTTTCGGAAAGGCAAAGGAAGATCGGTCCGAGACAATTACAAAGATGGATGTTGACACAAGCCCCAGTGATGTTACAGTCGCTCCTGATGGTGGAGAGTTGCCCAGAAATACTGATACAACTGCACTCTCTGAAGAAACAGGAAATGTACAGTTAGAGTCCTCTGTTACTTCATCAACATTCATTGACTCTGTGACAGACACTGAGGTTACAAATTCAGAAAATGGGTCAGAAATGGGAACAAGTCATCAGGACTATTGTGGTCTGGGACAGGGCAGTCAAGACACCACAGTCGTCAAACCCCAGGAGAATAAAAGCTGTCTTAGCAAGGATACAGAAGTACCAGACGATAAGCCCTGTTTGTCAAGCAGCGGCGATGGCATCGTCAGTGTCTCAAATAGAAATGTTGAAGAAAGGCTTGAAAGTGAGGCATCCGTAAAACCTCTTGGGGAGGAAGTTGGGAATAACGCACAAGGAGCTGGAGTAGTTGATGTCGCAGCTTCTCTCTCAGAGTCAAATGGCGATAACAGACCTCCGTCTCCTAGCACGTCTCCACTGTTGACGATGGAAGATGATGAGTCCCATGCTGACCGAGAGTCTGGTCAAGCAAATGTTGAAACCTCTTCAAAAAGGGATGTTGACGAAGAGACATTGAACACTGAAATTCTAGCAGATCGAGGGCCTTCCCTCTCTGACTCCAAAGACACCGTCAACTGTGAATCTCTGAAAGAAAGTATACATTCGGCATGCAGGCGGTTGAGTCCTTCGTGTCTGTTACCCACTTTGGAATTGCAGACTTTGCCTAATTTAGAGGAAGAAGGTGTCATTGAAAAGGCTGTTGTCAAAGACCTGCTTCAGGACAGCAAAGACGCAAGTAACCATAAAGTGAGCCGATATAACTTGCGCTCCGTTAGTTCTACTACCTCATTAAAGTGTGCTGCTGCCACAAATGGACAAAATATAGGTTTGGAGTCGTGTAAAAAAACGCCTGAAAAACCAAGCCCTCGTGTGATTAGAGAGGAAGAGCCTAGACCAGTGGCAGGTTCAGCTACAGCTCAACCCCCAGAATACATTGGCCAAGTTCGCTCTGAAATGGGCCCTCCGCTTCCTTGTCTCCTGACCCCCCTGAGCACACCTCCAAAGGCGGGCAAATCAATCAATCCAAGGCAGGCTATCGGGAAACTCTCATTTCCCTCGCCCATGGATAGATTGGCTTCGCCCACCAATCCCATCCAGGCCCACTTGACACCCGTAAACCAGCATCTGAGTTCCTCATCGTTAAACAGTCCACTCCCTCCAAACGGAGTCCCCTCATCACCACTTCAGTTTGGCTCTGCGACTCCAAAACATGCCCTGTCCGTTCCAGGTCGCTTGCCCGTGATGGCGATGAACTCTTCCCCGTTGTCTTCCTCCAGTCCGTCGCAGGAAAACTCCATGAGGATTCTCGACACCATGTACCCGGAGCTCTCGGCCCACGGCCGAACTCTGAGCATTCTCAGAGGCAACGTCGGTCTCAGCATCTGTTCATCGGAGGGCGGAACGTCACCGACATCAACCGACAGCCAGATGTCTTGCTTTAAAACCGTTAACTCTACTTCAACGGCCTTCACCAAGACTGAGACGAGAGGAGCGAAAAGACAGGCCACCTATCTGCCTCAACCTAAAAGCAGCAAATGTCTCCGGCTAGATAACTGCTCTCCTACGGTCAGTCGCAGGCAGGTGCCTTCTTCCTCCTCCTCAAACAGTGGAGAGGAGACTACCTCACCCCAGACTCCGAGCATCACACCGCTCAAAAATGAGACGACCGCTCCATCGACGAAAGGCGCAGAGCCTGCAGAGCAAAATCTTATCGTGAACTATTTAAAGAATATTGAAAACCAGGCTTTTGATCTATTGCCTGTGATCCAGAGCCACCTATATGTTGGTAACCTGCCCAAAAAGCCTGTCTTGAGAGACGAGGAGAAGGAGGTTATCTCTGAGATTTGCCGAAGCAGCTCGGTGAGTATACTGGTTTATTGGGCTTATGTTTTGAACTTTCACTCCTGCCATTCAGCCGCTAACCCTCGGCCAAGTATGGCCAGTTTGCTTTTAAATGCTCTAGAAACAGCTGTTCTTAAAAATCTTCCTTTGAGTCTATATTTTGCCAGCCAAATCAAATTGTTAACAGGATATTCAACCTTCGTTGCATGAAATACTAGACTTCTTTCTTTACAGGGCTTTTATACAAAGGCAATTAAGTAGTCTATGACGATGAGATATGAGTTTGAGCATTGTGGAGGTTGGTTAATGGCTTTTTGCCGGATACACCGACAGTCTATGGGCATATCTATGGGTTACGCTCGAGGTCTTTTTGATTCCTCGCAGTTCATTGTGTTTGTACGCCCTCTAGCGTTTCAGAGAATAATGCAGCGCATAGAGCATAAACGCCTCCGTTCATGCTCGGAGCGTGGGCGTGTATAAACAAAGCTGAACGCTGGTTTGAAAGGGGGAATGAATAAGAAAAGGGTTAAATAAAAAACAAATAGAAACAACCACTGTAACATTTTCCCTGTTTTCTGCGGGTTTTCCCGTATGTAAAAAACCTGCATACACGTGCTAATGTTGACAGCAAAAGGGTTTATGTAAAGACAAACCTGCCACTAACTAAGATGAACTGTGTTTGTTTTCAAAAGTCTGTGTCCATGTGAAATTAACTGTGTTTTCTCTCTTTTCTCTTCAGCTTAAGGCAGATGATATGATTTTGCCCATCCTGAACAAGCTGAAAGCAGAGAAAAGAGAGCTCAGCAGAAACTACATGCAGGCCCTCTGTAGAGTGTACACAGGGATCTGCAGACAGAGGAGAGACTGGGAGAAGGCTCACATCCTGGCCTACAGCCTCCTCACAGAAGGTTAGCAATTTGTGCTATACTGAGTGTCTTAAAGCCGTCACACTCACAGCTGCATGTTAACTCGCTGTGGCAAATCAAGCCTTCCTGCTGAACTGTGAAGACTGTCTTTATTGCACACAGATGTTTTTCACCAAAGACATTTGATTAATGCTTTTTCATTCTCGTTGTGTCTCCCCTACTGCAGATTTCCCAGACTCTGCTGAGCTGATTTTGTTCATGGTGACAACATGGCCCAACGTCCTCTCACACAGTAGTTCTCTGTGCCAGGCAATACATACTGTCACCAAACTGAAAGCGCAAGAAAACATCCTCGGCTGCCTTTCAGCATTCCTTGGTTGGGAGAAGGTGAACTATTTGTCGAGATGGGGCTCTTCATTTGTCATGCTATATATGTTTGTACTCAAATGTAGCTTTGATTTATATCTTCTGACTTCTATTGGGAGTGACTGGTAAAAATGTTGCCGTTTTATTAATTTCCTTTGAATTTTTAGACACTTTGGAAGCATTTTTTTGCTATATATATTTATATATACTGTTTGATTTCCAATCTGTGTGGCCGTAGTTAAGAGTCAGTTCATTGTGTTTATGAAATCTTCTTTCCCATTTGTACCCTCTCAAGTTAAGTAGAATGATCCCTCTAAAACCGTATGTCTCTATATTGCTGCAGAGTCCTCCCTGTGACATCGACGAGCTGATCTCCAGAACACTCTCTGATATTCGGTCCGGGTCAAGCTTGTCTTTCACTGCACATTGTCGCTACGGACATGACCTTGGGACTGAGGCGTGGCAGAATATCTTCACACTGCAACTCCTTTGTACACACAAGAAGTGGAAGTGGACTTATGATCAGTTATTGAGGTATGTTATTGTTTCTAACTTAAAGCTGCGGGGCCTTATGATTTAATTTAATTCACAGTCGTCTTTCAAACAAAATCTAAGTAATCTTTGTAAAGCTTGTTAAAGAAATGACTTATTTTTGTAAGCCTGTGTCCCGTGTAATCCTGTGTTGATCTGTTGTTTTTGCCTCATCAGCAAGGAGTTGTGGCCATTAATGAACACGTGGGTGACCCAGCCCAGAGAACAACAAGCACCCATCTCTGATGTGACTGTCGCCACCGTACTCCGACTCATAGGTCAGTGGTTTTGATAATTTACTTGGGTGTTAACCATGACCTGCAAAAAGATGTTGTAATTTAAAGATAACGTCATTATCTTTTTGTTTTAAATAGGACGCCTCAGTCAACTGGGAATCAAAGAGAGGTGTGTTCCCTCTGTGGTAACTGTCGCCAACGTCATCAACACGTTTGGTAGGCACGGACAGACTGAAGGTATGAAATATGAGAAACCTTGGTGAATACAGATTCCTTGCTTTACAGTTAGATATTTGAAATACACATCTTATTTCTATTTTTTCCATGTGTGGGCACACAACTACTTACCTGAGTATTTATGCAGATTCCAGTATTTATACCTCACCCTGGCATTTTCAAGTATCTTTGCGTGTTTGTATTTATTTGTCATAATTGTGCCAAATATATTAAAAGATAATGACATGAAAGGGAAATCCATCATCCAGCGGATGTATTCCCATAAGCAGTCTAATCTCATCATGTCCCCCCCCCCCCCCCCCCAGGTGTGCCATGGGAGGTCCAGTTAGCAGCCATCTACTGCATCTACGACCTGTCTCCCTGCAATCCCAAACAAGCCCTGGATGCCATGGCAGAATGGCGAGGAGAAACGTCTCAGAGCGTCCCTCCTGCAGTTACCAGCTGCATTAACCAGTTAGCGTCTGTCTGCAGACAGGCTTTGAGCTGAGAGAGACACACGCATGCTGCATTAATCCACATGAACATGCATGTGAGTCTGTCCCTATGTTGAAGACTGGGTGAAAGAAATTATGCAAAAGTTCAAAAAGCTCAAAGTTAATTTGAACTTGTTGACTGGCAGCCGATGACAGAGATGTTTGGGTTTTGTGCTCTTCCTTAATACACGGTGCCTGGAGGTTCATATTCAGTCTTGAATTGAAATGCGCTGTGAAAGACGGTTTCAGACAGTCAAACGTTTTAGTTTTTTGTTATGTGCACTTTTACTTTAACATCAATACATTATTTAAATGTACTCTGATTTTGTAGCAACTTTCTCCTACAATTTTATTGTTGGAGACATTTAAAATTGGTTTTCCTAACATTTTAGCTGTCCACACCCTGTAATAAAGGTACTGGCTTAACTCCCTGCCTTTGTTTTTGCTGTACTCAGGTAATGCTCTAAAATATTGTAAAGTATGTAGGCCTACATGTGTTCTGGTATCATTGTGGTGCTCCTGTATATGTTTCTTCATTCAAGTGTATGTAAATATGAGGTATCGCCGTTTGTATGAATGAAAAATAAGATTGCTACAGTAAATGTTTTGTACAGTTTTACGTTTCAGAGGTTATTTAACTTTTTCAAATTAAAATTTCTACATATTGAAAAAAATTATGTCTGTTTTGGTGCATTCTCTCCTCACCTGTCTCAATGCAATACATTGTAAAGCCATGAAACTGGTTATAAGGTAATAATATAAACAGACTGCTGTTTATACCTTATGGATCACAGTCAATAACCACAACAGAACAATTCACATAAGAAATTGGTGATAAAGGCAGCGAGTAATGATCCAGCCAAATTACTTCAACTATCACGTTTTATCCATCCTGCCCGGTCTGATTTATGAAAATTGTTGAAACACTTAAAAGCAACAGTTTCCGGGGCCAGCCATCCTTCAAAATAAAAGCTCAAACCCCACATTAAAGACATACAACTTCGACGTATTCAGAAACGGCTCCATTGGCCAAGTTAGTGTGAGGAGATACAAGGAATTTTACTGTCGATGTACGTTCACGGATATAGACATACCACTTAAAAACAAGGACAATAAAGCTGAACCAGGTACCTAATACCTATGTCAAGAAAACATTTATTTTGATATATTATTAAAATGTAAAGCACATGGAAAGGGCATTATTATGACTTTTTTTTAAATAATAGCAAAGAATCATAAAATCCAGAATAAGAAACAGTTTCAGACATGAGTTTGAAATACATCCTCCAACTAGGAGATCATCAATAAAATAAATAGATAAATTAAGACTTATCGATATTGCAGAGCTGGAAAGCATCATTTTGAAATTTTTCTCAATTATTTTTTTCTTCCAATGTGATGATGCAACAATCTTTTGGCAAGACATGTGTAGTAAAATACAGTGTAACATCTAAATTATCCTTAGTTTTTATTGTTAATCACAATGTTTGTAAAGATACTGGTGGCATAATTAACCTCTGTTCATGGCAACAGCTTAAAAATCGACACAAAAACGGGCATGGTGTGGTAATAAATGAAAAAAATATTAATAATTTATCAGAATATAAGTATATTTGTACTCATTTGTAACTGTGTCTTTGGTATGTTGTTTGATGTGATCGTTCAGAGAAAAAAAACATTTAAATTGTTTAGCTTCCGGTTTGTCTGGCCTGTATGTGGTGGACTTGACGCATCTTTCAGTCTCGAGGGGTGTGTTCAAAGATTTAAATCCCTCACACATGCGTAGACGCCGATCCGTGCTGCTGGGTGCGCCATATTGGCTGGTTTACATGGGGAGTGGAGTTGGACGAGCCGCTTGAAAAACCGAACCAGTTTCTGGACGCGAAGCATTGCGATGATAACAAGTAAATTAACGCCGTAGGATTTATTTGTTTTCTTGAGTGCAAAGTCTTTAATTTGCCGAATTGCTTAACATTTTCCCTGTGAAGAGGTTTTCTCGACTGACTCGAGTCCAATGGATCCCAGGACAGCTTGGATTCAGCCGGAGCAGAAGGGACCTGCCAATTCCCTGTGGATGCACATTTGGGAGACCTCTCAGGGATTTGGAGCAAACTCCTGCATCGACAACCACCTTCACCACCAGCGCAACTTTGCGGGGCAAAACGCAAACTCCTCCGAGTCTAACGGCGAGTGTTGCAAAAACGTCACGGTGCCGCCGGGGTGTGTGTTTGGGAAACTGCCGAAGCGAGACGGCGGCGGGGGAGAGAGGGGAAATGTCCGGAGGAAGGGCTCGCTGTCACCGTCCTCTTCCTCGCTGGACTCGGAGGCCGAGAGCTCCTCGCCCTCCGGCTCCTCTCTGCAAATCGATAATTTGAACGTCGCAGAGGAGGCCAGCCGGTTTTTGCACTACGGCGAGCGCGAGTTGAACGAGAGCAACCTCCGGCGGCAGTGTCCCCCTCCGCCTCTTCACGCCGCTCAGCAACACTGTCGCAGCATGCAACAATCCGGCGGCCACACCCCCACGGGGACGAAAAACCAGCACGGGAGCAAGCAGCAGCATCACCATCAGTCCCATTCTACCGGCCGCAGGAGGCATCTGGACAGAGCCAACACGTTCCACGGCATCAACCCGCTCCTGTCCCACGGCTGCAATGGACACCATGTAGACTCTTCTTGCAGCCTGTGGAAGACCAGGCGGTACAGCCCTGGCATCAATGGGTAAGAATATAGGAGAGGGCTTTTATTACAGTCATGGAAGGATTTGCAGTGGGACTTATTGGGGGTTCTTAAAGGAATTCCTCCAGGTCACCCAACAAAATGAGCAGTGGTTACAGCTCACTGCTGCATGCATTTTAAAATGATGCCCTTTTTTCTCCGTACGTTGTGTATATACCTGAGGCTATATATGTTAACAGAAAGAAATATCTGTTGTGGTCTCTATAATAAAACTATGGCTGTATTTGACCCGACTTATCTACTTGAATTCATTAGATGTTCATGTCAGTCAGATTTGTTTCCCCGCCAAGCTAAGCAAAATAAGTTAACTTAAGTTACTGTGAGCACAGATGTATTTGAGGCACAAATCAATTTTCCCAGTGCTTCAAACATTTCCTTTTTTATGTTACCAGCAGTATAGTCTTCAGCAGGCCCAATCCATACTTCTTTCTTTTTCCTCAAATACTGTCCATAGTCGTACTGTACAGCACTCGCACTGCTCGGTCTGTGATCACAGGTGTCCTCTCTCCCTTTTGAATCCTTCAGTCTCCATGAAGAAATTGTGGACTTCTTCAACTTCATGTCACCGCGACCAGAGGAGGAGGCCATGAGGAGATCTGTCGTGAACAGAATAGAAAGTGTCATCAAGGACATGTGGCCCACAGCACGGGTGAGTGTCAGTAGACTTTGGACCAGTACACTTCTCTGGCCTACACAGTATGTAACACTGACTTTAGACTTTTTACGAGCTTCACCTAATGTTTTGCCGATTATTAACAGCATTTTTTTTTTCCTGATGTGCTCCTAATCATCCTTTTAAAAACCAAAGCACTCTCAGTGAGCTCTCTAAAACCTCCTTCACCAAAGTTGGACGAGGGGTTGTTAACTGTGCCACGGTGCTTTTAAATTCATGAGTTCTTTATAGCAATGGTAAAATAATGATTGACTTGACTCTTAAAGTTAGTGCTGGTGTTGTAGTGGACTGATGTATGATGTGTTTCCATACACGAGGGAGACAGAATATTGCCATTGAGTTGAATCGCCACTTCTACAACACCCAGTGTAATCGGACTGAGCATTAAAGGCTTTAGAAAGAATGAGACTCATTCGAGGGCCGTTGTAGTGAACTATTTTAAACGGGTGTACCCGATTTTAAAATGGTAATTTTATTTGGTATATTGCTCTCCCTTCTCTGTCAACGCACTAAAGAACCAAGCAACTTAGTGTATACATCCATTTCAGATACACAATGCTGTAAAAATGCCCACAGAGTTGCCATTTAAAAAGAGAGATTTTATTGATGACCCCTGGGGTTTACTGTCAGATGTTTAGCCACTTATGAGCCAGAGTGTACTGAGACAATACACACAAGAACAGGCTTTTACTGCCCTGGTCTCGCATTTTACTTTAAAACGCATTTTAGAATAGATTTCTACATCAGGGCTTTTCGTTAAGCTTTCTTAACTATTAACATTTTGTCTCCGATTTGCGGGTTTTGTCACTATGTCAGCTTGGTTTTTAATACGGCATTTTATTTATTTTATCGAGTCAAGTTTATTGCTTTGCAAAGCTGTCATTGCCTGTTTAAATCGATAGCATTGTGTCTGGAGCTTTAAAGCCTTTAATGTGTCCGGTTTGGCCTCACTTGCAGTCAACAGCCTAGTTTACGCTGCACCTCTAAACGGATGTAATCATTATTCACGTCACTTGTGTTCACAAAGTTATTTTTCCATTGTATGTTGGCAACAGGATATTGGAGAGAGTCTACTTTGTAATAAATAGCATTTATTTGGTGAACATTTTGAGCTAATCATAGCCCAGACACGTCCCACTGGGCCTCACTTTTCTCTAAAGTCCAATTTGTGTTACTCTTCCAAGCGGTGGTGGTACGAATGTTTAATGTCTGTAGTGGGCTTTGGTCCCCAAATAGAAAATGTGGTGTTCATCATTAGTTGACATAAGTCCACAGTCAGAAATAATATCTTGTAACACTGCCCGTGTTCTACAGAGACCAGCGTGTCCCGTTTCATGAAGTTGCTGATATTTAGCAAGCCCAGTAACATCTACTCAAACTATTGGCTTACTGCTAATCACAAGTGAGGACTTTTAGACATATTTTAATAGAGTTGTTACTATTATTGTGCAAGCTTGTCTCTAATTTGTATTCTCTCGTGACCTGTTGCTTTGGTATGAGACGGCACAGACGCACAGCAAGCTGTACTTGCACTGACATTAGGTTTGATCTTACTATCATTTGATTTTTAAGCAGTAATGTATACGGCTCAGGATGAAACGCATTCAGACTTTGAGCAGTATAGCTAAACACGCATAAAGGTCAAACTATCTTAGACCTGAGCTTTGAAATTGGTGATTGTCATCATGATGTGTTACGACTTAAATCAGGCTTGTATTTATTTGTCTTGTACCCTGCAGGTGGAGATATTTGGCAGCTTCAGCACAGGACTTTATCTTCCATCAAGGTAATATTTTTTCCACAGTCTGACTTTTATATGGGCAGCTTTTGAGTCGTCTCATTAAAATTGCAAGTTTTTTTTGGGAAGTGGGAGCAGTGTTTTTGGTTGCGTATGTGTGTTTATTGTCAGAGAGCGTTGGTAATATGTCACCATACAGTATTGAGCGTTACTGTTTAGTAGCAATGATACAACCACATTGCTGGAAATCAGCTTTTACTTCTTGTCATGTGCTGTCATGGAGGTTTTCTTTGTATAAAGTTTGATCAAGGCTTTGTCATAGAGCTGAGCAATACTGTTAAAAGTTGATTTCACATTAGTTCTGCAAAATAAGCAGGAGGTTAATCATTTTAACAGCTTCATAGTTACCCTTTGCTTCTTCTTTACTGTCTATTTCACATTGTGATTGCACAGCCTTTTCCAAAAGGCACACGGTGACGCAGGGACCTCTGCGTCACCGTGTGTTCACGGAAAACTTAAGAAATGAACTTGTCACGGCACAAAGTACTTTATGTTTCTGTTCTCAGTGACATTGACCTGGTGGTGTTTGGAAAGTGGGACCATCCCCCACTGCAGGAACTAGAACAAGCCCTGAGGAAACACAATGTGGCCGGGCCGTATCCCATTAAGGTCCTCGACAAAGCTACAGTAAGTCACCAGGAGAGAGCTGATGGTGTCTTTATTTATTTAATTGTTTTTACTTTGAGAACCCACACAGGCGGGTTTAAAACTAATGTTAGATCCTAACTAATGACTTAACAAAAGATCTTGTCTCAATTAGTTCCTTATGAATTATGAAACCTACCTTTTTTGTTTGATTCCAATTGACCCTTTGACCTTCCCTCAGGTGCCAATCATCAAGCTTACCGACCATGAAACGGAGGTGAAAGTGGACATCAGCTTCAACGTAGAGACGGCTGTTAAAGCAGCACAGCTCATCAAAAGCTATCTGAAGGTAAAGCTTTCAACGCTGGACATTTTCAACACAAACGTGGCCTCCTTCGGTTGTTTCTTACGTCTTGTCTTTCTGTCTCGTAGAAGTACACTGTTCTGCCGCCTCTGATCTTCGTCCTGAAGCAGTTCCTACTGCAGAGGGATCTGAATGAAGTCTTCACTGGAGGGATCAGCTCTTACAGCCTTATTCTAATGGCTATCAGCTTCCTGCAGGTACACCAACGTATGCCTGCTACACCTACACGAAATGCTGTCTTGACTATTGTAAACGCTAGTCAACGCTTTGTCACTATTATTACAATTTTGCTCTTCAAATCAACTGAAAAGACTAGTGAAAGTAATGTTTATTATTTGTGGTCCGTTGTTTTATGTGGTGCTGAAATGTCAATATTTCACACACATAACTTTGTGTGTGTGTGTGTGTGTGCGCGTGACGTACCAGACTTGGATCTGTAGGTAATGAGATCTCCATATTCTGCCAATCAGTTGCACCCTCGAATCGACACGCGACGTGCCAACATCAACCTGGGCATCCTGCTGATCGAGTTCTTTGAGCTGTATGGCCGCGATTTCAACTACATGAAGACCGGCATCAGGGTGAAAAACGGAGGGGCTTACCTGTCCAAGGAGGAGATGCTCAAAGCCATAGGGAGTGAAAACAGGCCTTCCATGCTCTGCATAGAAGACCCAATACAGCCAGGTCAGATTGAGATTTGAATTGATGAATGAATGGAGAGTGACACGATTTGAGATGCACATCCATGTAAAGGGTATATGGTTGTGATGTCGATGTAGTAGCAAACATTTATCATCTACCATTAGTGCATTTATGTTGGAAAACATGACGGATGGTGTTCAAAGGGTAAATAACTATTGTACAATGAACTGCTTAAACATTCATAACGACTAAACACAGTGGGGGGGGAGCAGGGAGCAGATGTATCTCTAATTCAGTGAGTCTTGGTTGGAGACAAATTGTTTCCATTGTGTCAAGTAATGTTACATTTGTGAGTAAAATTAAACCTAATTAATCTTGATTTGACTGACGGACCCTGCCTGTGAGTAGGATGGGATCAGGCTGTCTTATGACTACGTGGCTAGTGCTGTTATACATGTTTTTGATCGTCGCAGGGAACGATGTTGGCAGGAGTTCATATGGTGTTTTGCAAGTCAAGCAGGTGTTTGACTTTGCCTACATGGTGCTGAGTCATGGCGTGTCTCCTCTAGCTCGCGCTTACCCCAACAAAGAGTACGACAGGTTGGTTTCTCAATGAACTAAATCACTTCTTTAATTTTGCATTCTCTGAGCACTAGTTCTGAATGTGTGTTCTGGTCGCATGATGGACGACTCCTCTCTCTGTGTTGCAGTACTTTAGGACGCATCATCAAAGTCAGCCCGGAGGTGTTGGCCTACAGGGACTGGACAGTTAAGAAGTGGGGAGCCAAGCAGTACGCCAAGCTCGAGAACCATGGTAACTTTTTTGGGAACCTTGGTGTTGCATCTGCTTTGTAACATTTCGGATGCTTTCACATCTGTGTGTATAACACATTATACATTGTTGCATTTTAGTTCTGTTTTTGATTATAAGCATTATTGGTCATAATTGATAACATGCTGTCATGCTGTCATTTTGCACTAACAGGTAAACCTGGGTTCGTTTGAACCGACCAGGTGAGGTGTGAAAGCGCCTTTTTAGAATAGAGTTGTATTCTATGATGCCTCCAGAAAAATGTGACAAAATGTTTCCCCATCTTAAGGAGTCGGGTTATGTGGTAATATTTCTGATGCTGAGAAGAAAACTCACCCGTGGTATTCTGTTGGGTCCTAGATGTAGAGACCTGTGAGCGGGACCTAGCCAGGCTGATGCTGGTTTCTGTGGAGGATCAGAGAGATGCTTCCTCCCCCCTCAGTGCTGACTCCCTCTCACCTTCTCCAGTCTTCCTCCCCAGCCCCCGACACCACTCGTCATCATCCTCTGCATGCTCGCTCTCCTCCTCCTCCGGAAGTGACATAGTAAGGCCAAAGGATATTGTGTCTATTGAAACATTTACTAGATCGGTGACTCATTAGTTCACAGTGGTTCACAACACATGGAGTTCAACCATCACCTGTCAGTTTCATTAGTTTTCATGCAACCACAAAGCTCTTTGTCAGAATAACGAGATTATAGCAACTGCCGTTATTTGTCTATATTATCTCCTGTGCGTGTGTGTGCAACTTTGTAAAACTATGTATGTCTTTTCCCAGGAGTCTGATTCTCCCCCGTGCAGTCATACTGCTATCCAACTCCACCCCCTAACCCTGGCCTCAGTCCATTCAGTCATCCAGATGGCTGCTGACCTGAGGGCCACTCATCCAGCAGGCTTTATCCACACCTCACCTCAGGTTGGTTTCATTTTTTGTCTACAGGTTGCAGTATGAACCTTCGCTAACATATTTTTTCCAATTCAAACAGTGTAAAACCTATTAACTCAGTACAGTGTTTTTAATGTTGGCATAGAAACTATTGTTGCAAAACTGCATGTTCTACTTCTCTTTTTTTAAATTTTTTTTTAAATGTTTAGGTGCAGATGTCCCTCCCAGAAAACCTCACCATCCCCTCGCTCGCTGATTGCCAGTTCTACCACGAAAACCCCCCTTCAATCAGTGTCGTGCATCGTCACATGTCGCAAGCGGCCCACATCTCTCAGCACACTAACGCCACAAGCCCTCTCCCCAGCCCCCTCCACCAGCTGCACCACCCTCCGATGGGGGGGTATCATAGCCACACGTACACCATGAGATCCAATTCCCATGGCTCACTTGAGCCGCACAAAGTTGGCTTGAAGCACAACCAAGGTGGAAGCCTCCGAAGTCAAACCCCCTCTCACGGTAACTACAGTCCCCCGCGGCGGTTTGTCCCCGAGGGTCATAACACGGCACCGGGTTGCAGGAACCAGCCACAGTACAACCGTAACACCTGGCGGCGCAGGAAGAGGGACAATCTTCCCGCTCTTAACCAAAGCAGGTGAGAGACATGTATGACTTGACTGACAATGTTTTGTTTTTTTTAAGACCTCACTCGGCCCATCATGAGTCTTGGAGTCGAGGCGCTGTGAAGCATTCATGATACAGCTATTTTGTTTTTTGTTGGAGGCTCCCAGAAACACACCTACTGTGTCCTGGAATTCACAAGTCAGTTGAAGTTGTCTCCAAAGGTGTCGAATGATTGATCCCTGCTAGCTCTTGTGCAAGCACTAAGTGATGCTGCAAGGCTCTTGCAGGTGAAGGAAGACTGTAAAAGGCTTAAAAAGTCTTAACTGTGCTCATTTTGTGAACATCGGTCTGATGAAAGTTAGAGGCCCTTCCTCTAAATTTCATGCGCACCAGCACGGACTTTGAGTTGGATTACTGATTCCCACACCGGGTCTGGCTCTTCTCCCAGTGTCACTTTCCAGCAGCTGAAGACTCTAAAAAGTTCGGTCAAGTATTGAGTTTCCATGCAATTTGAAAACCTTTTTACGAAGCAACATCGTGTGCCATAGTATCGAACTGATTAGCAAACCTGGTCTCTCTTGAAGTTTTGACTCTTATTGGGCCTTTTTTTGAGGTTTTGGCCTCAACTGGTCTTCTGAATGCAACTCCCTATCGGCTACGGTTATGATTCGGAGTTCTAACAGCTTGGACTATCGTCCACAAATTGTACTCTGGACCGGAGCGAAGCACTACCTTTCTACCTATGCAGCACAACGCTGACTTGATGGTTTTTGGTGTGACTGCACAAAACGGACCTTGTCTCAAGTGCTTAAACTGTGATGACGTGTCTGAATGTACCAAATGTTTCTCTCCTGTCTGTTGGTCATTTGTTCTCTTGTTTTTGTCACTTAGGGCTTTTCTTTTTGTTCACATTGGCACTACTATGTTTTGTATTGTGAACATTGCCACCTTATTTTATGTTCATGTGCAATAATTGCTTTTATTTAATTTGTCACAATTTTGGTTTTATTTTAGTGGTTGTCCCACTATAATTTAGCTTTTTATTTTTTTATTTGTAGACAACATTTATCTGTGCAATAGATGGATTTAAGGGCCGTGTGTGAGAGAGAGTGTGTGAGAGAGTGAGAATGTACAGCTTTCCAGCAGAAGGGGGAGCTATGGCAAAGCAACATGAGAAATGTGCCAAAAATGACATGATTTACCCATTGCATTATGATCACTTGGAATTTTGCCAACTGCCTGTCCAAATGTTTTATCACCACTGCCCATATCACTTTTTTTCTGTAGTTAAAATTTTATTTGGGTGTATTTTCTCTTGATGGACCGAGGCTGTACTGGAGAAATGCACTTTTTTTTTTTTTTTTTTTTTTTAAGCAGGGTTTACTCGTGTCATTTAAAAACTAGTTGGTGCTACTTATTACCAGCAAAGTGCATTTTCTGCCTTATATCTCCCTTTTGATTCTGTTGAAGCAACAGGTTAACTGCCTTCTTAAATGACCAAATTTGCCCTTTTTCCTGTATGTAGTCATCTTTCTGTTCTATTTGTTTCTATAAGCACTGCCAGGTTTACTTGGCTTTTATTTTTACAACCAGCTTCTTATGTTCCAGGAGTAGATTCCTACTGCAGTCAATGATTGTTACCATTAACATCATGTCACATTTATTCTTTTTTTTAATTCAAAGGTCATAATTATAAAAGGCAAGAGGTCCTTCCTCTCCCATATTTATAGTCAGCGTTTCTACATCTTGTCAGACAAGGTGTGAAAGCTCCATAATTTACACAGCAATCCAGAAGGGGACTTGTGTCTGGGATGTCGCAGATTCACCATTACTGACTGTTTTGGTGGCGCCGTTAACCAAACCACATTTGGTTGATGGCCGTGTGTTTTTAGAAGTCTGTGATTATTGTAACACCCTGCACACCAATATGATGGACTCGACATGACACTGTTGGCATTATGCTGTTGTTTTATCAAGCCCTCTAGAGGATGATCGATGCATTGTTACATCATATTGCAACAAACTAAATCCCCAGCTCAAATGTGTGTCGTTGAGGATGGATTGCTATGTGTAAATGACTGACTTATAGATGCATACCTTGGTTTTTTTATGTAAGTTTTTCTATTTTTTTAATAAACCTTTTAAAACTCCATTTACAGTTTAGTGTGTGTTTGCAATGTGTTAAGTCCACTCTTGTACATTTTAGCTTAATCTTTCTATATGGATAAATATGAAATGTCCATGTAAAGCATAAATAGTGCTATTGTTCCGAAGTTTATTGAGAGAACTTTCTACTTTTGGTATTTATTTATACAGTTTCCATTTGATTGTCTCTTGCTGTCTTGTTTGCACTAAGGAGAGAGTTTTTCTGACTAGTTCTTGAGTAGTGCCACATAGCTACCGACATTTTCAGAGCGCCTCGTTCTTGATCATGCTGTACTTTGGGTTCAACACAGTAAGGGACACTGAGGCGCGCACCCTCACTCATCTGGTGTGTTGTAATTCCTCCTGGTCTCTGCTGGGGGCACTGGTGGATCATTGCTCGGTTTAGCTGAATCTCATCCATTACCTTTTCAGATTGTCAGCTCGGTGCAGGGAAGTAGAATGTGACGGAGAAGAGGGGTTCAACAAAATCCCCTGAAAGTTCAATCATCGGAGGGTTAGTGGCTGGAACGGTTGTCATTTTATTCCAATTAATACCAAGGGGGAGAAGTGTCCTTACCGAGACCCCTTTTAGCCTTTCTTGACTCAAACTAGCTGAGTAAGGCACTACGAAATTAGATCCAGCCTCCGTGTCCATCCGCTTTCTTGGATCAGTCTTCATTAATGATTAAATGGAAGCAATATTTTGGCGCAGGCTGCAATTTATAATTTTGTTAAAAGCTGGCATTTTGTTCCTGCTGGATATAAAAACCAGATTAGACTGGCAGGGAAGCATTGATCTTGAATTAAAGATACACAGTCCTCAACCCAGGAACCAGTCTGGTCAGTGTTCACATGAGTAATCCAGTTGCCACTCTGCACAGCAGTCGTCTATACAACATCTTCAGTGTTGCAACATTGTGTGTGTATATTTAAATGCAGGTCTATCTCCACGGGATGAAGCCCACACAATCCCTGGGGAAAAGTGAAGCAGCCAACGGCCTCTTGCTGAGATCTGCAGTCAGTAAAGAGGACTCTTCTCACTTTATTGTGTTGATCCCCTCCTGAACAAGTCAGGACATCGCTCTGTGGCCTACGCTTCACTTCAACCCAACTGCAGAGGGACCAAATATAAACTTTTCGTAACTTTATCCATGCCAATCAATACAGTATAAATGTGAGGAAACTAGATGAGCTAAAGTAAACAGAAAAAAGTTCTTTAAAAGACCTGTCTTCCAAATCCCACTGGCATGAAAAATAAAGTTCTCCTAAGAGAAGGTCAGTGGTTATACCTTCAGGCTGTTTGTGGCTGTCAGTGTCTTGACAGTAGAACATTTGCATCTTTGCCTATTGAAGTCCCACGCACGGGCCCTCCACAGTGCGCTGCGAATGGCTGTGGATGTAATTAGTGTTTGCAAACAACATTGTTCAGATGACAGTATGATGAATGCCAGGACAAAGGAGATGTCAGTTAAATCCAAAAGTCTTGTGTTGTCAGGAGACTATTCAGACTGACGCTGTAAATAAATGTAATTTCATTCTCGGTGTCCTCGGTTTCTTCCTCAAGCCACGACGGGAATAAATGATTTTGCACATAATTGTCATTTCTTTATTATTGGATGAGAAGAGTTAAAAGTTGGATATTTTGGAAAGTGGAACACCTTATGATTTTACGTACTGCACGTTTTGAAATAAAAAACAAATACTATGCGAAAGCACTAAATTGACATGTTATGGGGATATGAAATGGGGAAAACCTAGTTTATTTATACATCTAGCAGACATGGAGCAGTGTCAGCAATTATTTAGAAATGTGTTTCTGGCCTCCTGGCAAATGTAAGTTTATTATTCCCTGGCTTTACTTGTCTCTACCAACTTCTGAGTGAAATATCTGGCTCTTCAGCTGATAAAAGCTGCACTGTGTCCACAAGCTAGTTTGCAAACGTCTGTTTGTCGTTTGCTGCTGGGCAGCGTACAGTTGGCTTGTCTGTGCTTTTACTCCTGCGTTGCTGCCGCTGGAAACAAGTTGAGAGCGGTGAAATGGAGCAAAACAGTAAAGTAACGGGCACATCTGACTGCTGCTGCCGGGGTAATGCCACAATTTGAAAGACTCTACGGATCAGGTTGAGTCCAAGTCAAGTCTAATGTTGATTAAAAAAAAAATAAAATGTTTAATGTCTATTTATGTGCATGCCAAGTGCTGCTCAGGTAGCGATGTGAGTGCACATCCCATTCTATGAGACAGTATATGCAGACATGTTTTCATGTATTTAAAGATAAGGCTAGTATTCTATGTATATATATATATATATATATATATATATATATCCCTATTCAAATCCATACATTTCTTTTTGTTCTTTGACTGCACATTTCTATATGGCTCTTGTCAAACATGTCGTTCCCCTCAGCCTTACCATCAAGCAGTTCGGGCCACATTTTGGACACAGTGTTTCTTTCACGAATGTAACATTGACAGGCCTTTTCTCTGTATTTCTTCCAATTACTCTTCAGGTATACGCCAGCCTCTCTTCCTCTCCCTTTGTATCTTCCTCAAATACAGAGAGGCATTTCCACCCTGATAAATTTCATCAAAGGATGTATGGAAGAAACTTTTCTACCATTATGCTATTTACAGCATAGAGCCACCAGAGAAGGATGATGAGATCACAAAGCATAAAAAAATGGACGTGGTAATAACGGACATGAGTGAATAAATTATATCTCAAGAAATGGAAGCAAAAGTCCTCTTCCCCACGAGGTGATTCTAGTCTCATGGACATTTTTCATCATCTGTGTTCATACGTTGGTCATCATACTAATACAAACCTATATACAGTACTTATAGTAAATAACTGATAGACAAGCAAGTACCTCCACAGTTATACAAATACACAGTATCACTGGTAAGTTCTAGCGGTGTAAAATAATGAAGGCATCTGCAGCATGCGTCACAAGAACATACCTTTTGTGATAATGATGCATGGTACCTGCCACATATGCCCCCTTATTTTCCATGATCAGAGTAAATATCAAACCTCATGCTGTAGACACAAACATCTGACTGAGATATCAACATAATCTCTGATTTGCTGGGTGTCCATCAATCTACGAATAACACATACAGGGGCCCACTCTTAAGAGGGCATGTCGACACATTATGCAACATCGATTTCTGAAACAGATAAATAGGAAATTTCGTATAGGCCTATAACATGGGTCATTTTTAAGTAGTGATTTGATTGGTACAATTTGTGACCTTAACACGTTCCCTGCATTTGGATTTGCTCTACGACCAAACATAAGGGATATTAGGCAAACAGGGGACAGCTATTAAAATGTGTCCGAAACCAGAGCCCATTAAAATATGGGCCTATATGTGTCCTCATTGAACCATGTTCATTCATTTTTCCTTCAAGTTGCAGTTATCATAAGTCTTGTCTCCCTTATTTGTTTCCGAATTCAAAGCATATCACTCTGATTGTTAAAATCCATAGTCCCTTGTCCTAGATATCTTCACTTACCTTGATTCCATGCTCATTCACAGTGCGTTCACTTGAGATGTCCTTTCTTCTCTGACTCAAAGTGGCCTGATGGATTTTGTGTTTTGTATTCTGTCTGGTGAAATAACTGTATTCAGCCTCTCTCCAGTATAAAGATCACTAATGACCCATACAATGCCAGTATTCAGGTACTTCACACAAAACCTATTTTTCTGTGAAAAATGGACCCTCTTATTTTCTGCAGCTTTAAGAAGCTACTTTTCCTTGAAAAACCCTGACAGGAGACCCTAGTTACATCTGTGTTTGCAGCTCATTACTTGTCGTGCCTCTGAGCCAGCGTCAGCCATGGCCGGTGGCATTATGTTTAGGGTTGTCCACTGTCCGTCAGTTTATACGTCTATCTCATTCTCTTAGGATTTTTGCAGATTTGAATTTATTTGATGTCAGTGGTTAAAGGTCAAAGTCACGGTGACCTCACACACAAAACACATATTAGGCCATAACTCAAGAATTGATTTGCTAACTATGACAATTTTACACAAATGTCCAGTAGGATAAAATGATGACATTTTGGACAGACATGGATGTAGACTGCGACTTGACTGGTTGGCGTAGGCATGTTATCGCGTTAGGCGGTGTTTATTTTTAATCTTTTACAGGAAGAAAGTTGAGTATCATTTGGCTGGCAGCCATCTTGTGGGTCATTTTTATTTTTATTTCTTGTTGTTCATTTTCGAATTTTGATAAGGGCAGCTTTAAACATTTGTTTTGCAAGTGGACTAGATTATAAAAAACAAAACTGATACCATCAACATTATCATGCATATCATCAACATCAACAAGACAGCTGCAAGATAAATTATGATGAACATTTATTGGCCCTTCTGATGCTTGTTTTACTTAAACTAGTGTTTTGCCATTTGTATACTTTTGTTTGTTTTTTTGCGAATATCAGAAGTGTATCAAAAATATCATAAACATTTACATTTTTTTCATTCCTGCGGTCCTCATAATGATTTCTTCTTCTTGATCTCTTTAAAAGCATTTTTTTCTCTCTGTATTTGATGTTATCATTAATATGCACGCCGTTAGCTCCTAATAAATCCAACACATTACATGCCGGTATGCATGCAAAATAAATGATGTGTGAGCCACTCATTTCAGAGAGTTGTACACACAAACACACACAATTCACATCTCAACATCACTTCACAACAGACCAAACAAATAAACAGCAGGGGGCTCAGTTTGTATGAATACACTTTTAAATATATTGATTTTTTTATTTACACAGAAAAACATGTTTTCCCAAAGTGGGTTTCTTTAAAAGTTAACTCTAAAAATAATCATAAAGAGCAAGGTCATGTTTCAGGCAAGATTAAATAATGATAAGTGCATCCTTGGCATTTTCACTACCTTGTTTAAGACTGTACTTAAACAGCAGTGCAGATTTATTCAATTATCCAGATCACTCAAGCCTGTTACTACTGCTGTTTGTCGATACATTTGTTTTTTTTTACAATGGAGCATAATAGAATTAATTCACTCCCAATTCAACACAATCTTTATATTGTCTATATGTGTGAATATGTCATAAAATGGTATTATATCCAGCACTCCAATATCCACTTTCCTTTGACAACAGAATGAGAGAGTACTGAACAGAAGATGAAATTAACAACTCATTCCAATTCCCTTGTTTGTCTTTGTTCTTGTGTTTTTTTTTCGTAGTGCTTATAGTTTTTCTTTTTTACGTTCTCTTATGCGCAGTCCTCCTGAAACAATCCCTCACCTTTCCCATGAACTTTTGGTATCAGGAGGGATAGATTTAACTGCCCTAAAAATGCAAAAATCCATGTGTATTAAGCCTATAATTTCCCGTAGCTACAATCCAGCTGTCTCTTTCACTTGAATCTCTTTCCGAAGCCTGTAGGTTAGAGGTGTTACTTGGAAAAAGTCAACATCAAATCAAACTTGATGATTAGCCTTGCATTTATACATACATGTAAATATATTTGTGTCTGTGTGTGTGTGTGTGTGTGCA